ACATCGATTGGCTGCCTCCTGCATGCCCCACACTGGGGATCTGGCCCACAACTTGGGCATGTGCCCTGACCGGGAATCGAACCGGCAACCTCTTGTTGCATAGGTCGATGCTCAACCAGTGAGCCACACCAGCCGGGCTGGACGCCACTTCTTATTGGAGAATGCTCAAGTCCAGGAAGAGCATGTTAGATCGCATGTATCATAGTTTGGGAAGAACTGGTCTGCCATAGAGTCATGGGTCTCTGGGAACTGAATGAACTGAATACCAGTAGCATTCCCCAGTCACTGTGACAACCAATAACTCCCCCCCACCCCCACCCCGCCGCCAAATGACAGGCAGCTGGCAGTGCTGTGCCTCAGGTGTCCTGTATGTATGACCCAGCAGGTGGTTGTCCACAGTGTGAACATGGTGGCTACAAGGCACCTCATGGCTCTGAGCAGAACACTCCAAACAAGCGTTTTGTCTACCCAGGGCTCATAAGGTACATCTTTTGAAGTCTTTGCTCCCCGGTGAAGTGTGGCTGCCCTCCTGAGAGGGGCCACCCCAGCTCTGGAATCGGGCATTGGTCAGCAATGCGCATTCCTGGGGAAACACCCACCCTGGTGAATTTCACATCCAGGCCAGGCGAGCGGGTGGACTTGCTTGTAAATTGCAGCTCCGTGGTAATACCGCTAATAACCACCTGGAGGAAGGCACGCCCTCGTTTCTCAAGCCTGTCTCCACCCCGGACACTCTGGTGGGGGTGAAGAGGCCAGGCTTCTTGCCAGGTCCACAGACCCCTCGCCTGAGACAGGCTGATTTCTTAACAAGACCTTACTCAATTCATTTTAAAATCCTAACAGCTGACAGGAATCCAGCAATTACTGGCATTGGGTAAAAGAACAAGCATTTGGATCATTGCAGCCTCTTAACCCAGGGCAACCTCCAAGGATCATTTTGGCCATTAAAACAAGATGATGGGACTCAGTGAAATGATCCAGCGTAAATGTCACAGTGGCTTCATAAGGGCCCAATAAATGTCACCAGACAAAAATATCATCACTAAACGGTTGCTCATCATCTTTTTATGATGTGTGATAATAATAGTAACTCACATAATTTGGTATTAATACTAAATTAATATCACTCTGATTTACGAGACATCAATGGTTTTACTTAAGCATTTCACAAATATTACCTCATTGCGCTATCACAACAACCCTATGAAGTAGGTACCGTTAGCATCCCCATTTTCAGAAGGGAAAACTGAGGCACCTGGAGGTTAAGTGAAGTACCCTTGGTCATGTAACTAGCAGGAAGCATAGCTGGGATTCGAACCCAGGCACAAGACTTTTTTTCTTTAATTTATTTTAGAGAGAGAGAAACATCGATTTGTTTTTCCATTTGTTTATGCATTCATTGGTTGTTTCTTGCCCTGATCAGGGGTTGAACCCGTAACCTTGGCGAATCAGAACAACGCTGTAACCCACTGAGCTACTCAACCAGGGCCAGGCACTAGTCTATTATTACAAGGCTGTTCTGCCACTGATGGGGAAGTGAAATGAATTTCTGACTAGGTCTTCAGCTAATCACTGAGCTCTTGTTGAATAAAGGTGTTTCGCCTCACTGTGCCTCAGTTTTCTCATCTGTGTAGTGGGTTACTAATGTGATGATTCATTCATTTGTTCACTTACTATCTCTTTATTGAACGTGTATTCTGTGTCGGGCACCAGCGTGGACACTGTGGTATGCAGTATACAAAAGAAACAACACTTCTGCCTTCATGGTGATTACAGTGTCCACAGAGGGAGACAGACAAGGAAGAAGGTAATGAAGTGAATTATACATACTTCTGTGTGAGGTGTGTTAGAAGGTGACAGGAGCTTGACAGAAGTATAAAGTAAGGAAAAGGGGAGGGAGAGTAGGTGATGTTCATGAGGCTCTGAGATCATAAATAAGGTCTCATGGAGTTGACATTGGAGCAAAACTTGAAATAAGTACAGAGATGAGCAAAAACATTCTGTGGATCCAGGTGGAGGAACAGCCCATGCAAAGGCCCTGAGGTGTGGAGGCTGACGTGGCTGGGCGGTGAGTGAGGGACGGATGAGGGCAGGGAGGTGAGGAGGCAGATCCTGTGGGGCCGGTGGGCCCCAGGGAGACTTTGCCTTTACCCTGAGCGAGATGGAGGGACAGGATGTGAGGCAGGTGTTCACACCTGACCTGACTGCTTGTGAGCAACAGACAGTTGGGGAAAGAAGCAGGGAGAGAGATGGTCCAGGTGAGAGGTGATGAGAATGGATGAAATTCCCGAGGGAGTGTCGATGGCGAACACAGGAGATTCAAGGGCGGAACCCTGACTTTGCAAGATTAGAGAGGAGGACGAACAGCCAAGAAGGCTGACTAGGAACCAGAGGGGCGTGCTGGCCAAGTGTGTGTGGGGTAACCCCACTGTGTCAGGTGCTACCAACTGGTCAAGCAACGTGATGACTGAACAGCACCAAGAGGGTCATTGGTGACCTTGACATTTCAGAGTGGTGGAGAGGGGCAAAGCCTGATTAGAGGTTTAAGAGAGAACAGGGACAGCTCTGGCTGGTTTGGCTCACCGGTTGGAGCACTGACCTGCGGTCCAGAGAGACCCGGGTTTGGTTCCCGCTAGGGGCACGTACCTTGGTTGCGGTTTGTCCCCGGCCCTGGTTGGGTCGTGCGGGTGGCAACCACTTGATGTGTCCCTTTTACATCAATGTTTCTCTCTCTCTCTCTCTCTCTCTCTCTCTCTCTCTCTCTCCCTCCCTCCCCACTCTATCTGAACAAAAAATGGAAAAAATGTTCTCGGGTGAGGATAAAAAAAGAGAGAGAGAGAAAACAGGGACAGAAAATATGGAGACAGCAAGTATAGACAACTTTTTTGAGAAGTTTTACTATAAAGAGGAGCAAAGAAATGGGGCCATAGCTGAAGGAGATGTGGGGTCCCGAGAGGGTTTGTTTTCAGATGGGAGAGATGACACTGTGGACTGACAGAATGCTCCGGCGCACAGGGGGAGCTGAGGGTGCAGTAGAAGGGGGACAACTGTGAGACGGTGGCCCAGAGTGGGTGGGAGGGACGGGTGAACATACACGGGGCAGACGCGTGTGGGCCCGGGGCAGGTAGGTGGTAGATAGGGTGGTGGGGGCCTGTGGAAGTTCACTTCTCATCACTAGCATTTTTTTCTGCAAAATAAGAAGGGGAGAATGAAGAAGGGGAAGGAGGTGTGATGGAAGAGCAGATGGGGAGAAGGCATAAAATAGTTATCTTTAGGAAGGAAGAGTAAGTGGGTAAGAGAAAACTAATCTGATTGCCCAGCAGCTTTAGGGGCTGGAGGGTCAAGTTCACAAATTATTTTATTTTATTTTATTTTATTTTAGAGAGAAAGATAGAGAGAAATTTTTTTTTTTTTATCCTCACCCGAGGACATTTTTCCACTTTTTGTTCAGATAGAGCGGGAGGGAGAGAGAGAAAGAGAGAGAGAGAAACATCGATGTGAAGGGACGCGAGGGGCTGCCACCCGCATAACCAACCAGAGCCGGGGACAAACTGCAACCGAGGTACGTGCCCTTAGCAGGAACCGAACCCGGGTCTCTCAGGACCGCAGGCTGACGCTCTAACCGCTGAGCCAAACCGGCCAGGGCTAGAGAGAAAGGAAGGGAGAGAGAGATAGAAATTTCGATGTGAGAGAGAAACCAATTAGCTGCCTCCTGCTCACCCTCCACTGGGGATCGAGCCCAAAACCCAGGCATGTGCCCTGATTGGGAATCGAACAGGGGACCTCTCAGTCCATGGGATGACGCTCAATCCATTGAGCCACATGGGCCAGACCAAGTTCACAAATCTGAAGTGAGACCAGCCAATGGACTTGTATTGTTCTTTCGCCATTTTAAACTGTGTGGGTACAGGCACCAGGTAGGTGGAGGGCTGAATTTAACCAGGGTCATGTGTAGGAGGAAGCCAGAGGAGACAGGATGTATGCAAAGAATGTTTTTCATGATTAATCTAGGAATGTAACCGATTAGGGCGAACTGAGGACTTGAGGACCGAGGGGGAGTGAAAAGGAGGTAGGCACCTAGGGTGGGAGAGCGCAGTAGTTTGGAAGGATTGTGGGGATCTGCGACACTGGAGGGAGAGAGCTGGAAAGAGAAGAGGTGATGGGTGGAAAGAGGTGTCTGAGACTGAAATTCTGAAGAAGCTGTGATTGAGACAAGGTCCCAGAGCAACCATGGGAGGGAGGGGCTGAGAGGAAGGCAGGTCAGGGAACAGAGGGGCAGGGGTGAAGAAGGAAGGACCACCTGCCTAGATATGGAAATCCCCAAGAATGATGACTGGAGCAGGGGGGTGGCAGAGCCTGGGATTAAAACCATGGAGAAGTGAGGAATAGTGAAAAAGGCCAGCGATGCTTTACATGGTGGGTACCATCTACTCTGATGAAAAGATGCATAGCTGGAGACTTTGGGGAAGGATGGAGAGAGTTGTCTGGAAGCAGCACCAAGGAGCCAGGAGATTCACCCACTGGGAAAGGCCACAGGAGAGCTGGGTTCTGGTTAGAGCAAGATGGTGACAAGAATGTTCAGTGAAGAGTCAGAGAGTTCATGAATCCCAAAGGCCCGAGGAGCTGGGACAGGTTGTGGGATAGGGTAGAAATGGTTCCATCCTAGGTGTTTTTTCTAGTCTATCTTCAGTGTGCTTGTGGTCATGTATACAAAGTGTGTATGTATACAAGCGCGCGGCCACAGATGGAAGCCGTGGTTCGCAGTCCTGATGGAGTCATGGTCTGGCCAGCGGTCTTTTTCCCAAGAGGGAAAGCCCTTCGCCTTCGATCGCCCTCCGGAGCCAGGTGGCAGGAACAAGGTGCCCGGTTTTCGCGGCCGTGAGAGTCCCCCTTGTCCATTAAAGCTGGTGGGGTCACGATCTAGCGCAGGGACCTTGCGTCCTGGGAGAAGTGGCGGGAGGCCAGTCTGCCCTCACCTGTCAATCCCTCTCAACCTGCAGGAATCCAGTCTCCGGAGATGGGCACCCGGCCCTCGCGCCAGCGGCTGCCCGCGGACCCGCCCATAGCCTTGGACGCTCTGCCCCCAGAGCTGCTGGTGCAGGTGCTGAGCCACGTGCCGCCGCGCGCGTTAGTGACGCGCTGCCGCCCAGTGTGCCGCGCGTGGCGCGACGTGGTGGACGGGCCCACCGTGTGGCTGCTGCAGCTGGCTCGCGACCGCAGCGCGGAGGGCCGCGCCCTCTACGCGGTAGCCCAGCGCTGCCCGCCCCGCAGCGGGGACGGGGAGGAGTTCCCGCTGTGCGCCCTGGCGCGCTACTGCCTGCGCGCGCCCCTCCGCCGCAACCTCATCTTCAACTCCTGCGGAGAGCGTGGGTACCGGGGGCGGGCCGAGTGGCCCCAGGGATGAGTGGGCAGGGACCCGAGCGAGGCTGAGTGAGGGGGCGGGGCCAGGGCTCCGAGCCAGAGGCCCTGGGGAAGCTGAGTGGGCGAGACCAGGGAGGGGCTGCGAAGGAGACGCACTGGATGGCCGGAGCCAGGGGCTGTGGGCAGTTGGGGAGAAGAAATGGATGGCGAGACGGAGCAGAAGGAACCAGGGGACAGGGCTGTGTCAGGAAGCACGCAGTGCTGGGACTGTAGACTCCGTCGGGGTGGCTAAAGAGGAAAGAGCCGGGGCTGGGGAGAAGCCGACTGGGTGTTGGTGGGAGCGGAGCTTGCAGAGAAACGGGGGCCTCATTGAAAGGCCGTGGGGAGGAGGACCTAAGCCAGTGGGCGGGGCCGAGGCTGGGAGCTGGGAGGCTGCGGTAGGGGCCCAGGTGGAAGGAGCACCGGCTGCGTCGGGGAGAAGCCGAGCTGGCAGGTGAATCCCTTGTCTTCTGCCCTGTTGCATCCCACAGAGGGCTTCAGAGGCTGGGAGGTGGAACACGGCGGGAATGGCTGGGCCGTGGAAAAGAACCTGACACTGGTGCCGGGGGCTCCTTCCCAGACCTGTTTCGTGACTTCTTTCGAGTGAGTGGCCCTTGATCCCTGGGGCATGGGCTTCAAGGAGGGTGGGGGACCCCACCTCACCGTCTTCATCCTCATCTACCTTCACCCTCCCCTCAATCAACAAACATTTGTTGAGGGCCTGCCATGTACCAGGCACTTTGGGGGGGGGTTTGTTTTGTTGTTCCTATTTTGTTTGTTTGTTTTTAAAGATTTTTATTATTATTTTTATTTTTTTATCCTCACCCGAGGACATTTTTCCATTTTTTGTACAGATGGGAGGGAGAGAGAGGAAGAGAGAGAGACGGAAACATCGACGTGAAAGGGACACATCGAGTGGCTGCCACCCACACGACCAACCAGGGCCGGGGACAAACTGCAACCGAGGTACATGCCCTTAGCGGGAACCGAACCCGGGTCTCTCCAGACCGCAGGCGGACGCTCTAACCGCTGAGCCAAACCGGCCAGGGCTGTTTTTAAAGATTTTTAATTGCTTTTTAGAGGGAGGGAGAGGGAGAGAGAAGAACATCAATGTTAGAGCGAAACATCGATCAGCTCCCTCCTGCAGGCCCCTCACCGGGGATCTAACTGGAATCCTGGCCATGTTCCCTGACCAGGAATCGAACCAGCAACCCTTCGCTGCAGCTCACGACGCCCAACCAACTGAGCCACACCAGCCAGGGCTCAGGCACCGTTTTATATGTCAAGATACAAGGAAAATTCAGAAAGATCAGGAACCTGTTTTTTCATTTGCATTTTAGATGTAGGGTGTGGGGAGACATTAAACACATAAACAGTAAAATAACAAGAACACAACAAACAATGAGAGTACTTACTCCCTGACAGATGCTTTGCATATAATTCAATCCTGGCAACAACCCTGTGACGGAGATAGTATCGTTATCTCCATTTTATAATGGGAAACTGAGGCACAGAGGATAACCAACATGTAATAAATGGTGGAGCTGGGATTTGAGCCCAAGTGATCTGGCTCCAGAGCTTCTGATTGTGATAAACGCTATGAAGACATCAGAACAGTCTGATTGGTTGGTTGATTCTCTTTATCCTCATACCCCACACCCATTTCCTTATCCCCTGCCCCCATAGTCAACCACTCTCGCATGGCATTATCCAGCTTTCTAGTAGCCAGTGTATTAGGAGTGGAGTAATATCTCACTGCTGTTTGAGTTTTCACGTTTTGACTTACTAATAATTAAGCATCTCTTCCTATGCTTGTTAGCTTTTTGGATTCCCTCTTTTGTAAATCGCCTGTTCGTATTTCCTATTAGGGCTGATGTCTTATTCTTGACATACAAGAATTCCTTGTATGATGTCGCTGTCTGCCCCTTGTCCGTCCTGGACACTGCGAAACTCCCACTCTACCATCTGTATTGACTGTGCCCATGGTGTTGTGTTGTTATTTTCACATGATCAAATTCATCTCTCCCTTTTCTGCTTTAGAATTTGTTTTTGAAAAATTTTTTTTTTTAAATCCTTTCGTATCCTTAGATTCTAACAATATTCGCTTATACTCTCTTCTAATAAACTAGAGTTTATCTTTCACATTTAGATCTTTAATTCTCCTTTGAATGTGATGTTAGCTAAGGATCTGCCCCACCCACCCACCCACCCTGCGCATCTCCATATATTGAGCCCATTTTCCCAATATCATCTACTAAAGAACCCATCCCTTCCCCATGGAATGGCAGTGTCACCTCTATGATGGAGTTCCCATACATACCTAGGTCTATCCCTGAGCGCTGTGTTCTGTTCCACTAGGCAGCTTAGTTCTTCCACCAGTAGGACTCCATTTCTATGTTATGGCATATTCGAATGGCAGAGAAGGGCTGTTTACAAAGGTGCAGGCAGACCACAAGGGACAGTGCATGAGCCCCAGGCTAGTAACAGTGGGGGGAAGGGTCATTACCACCCCTAGGCCTGCCAGGTAAAGGCAGCAAGCAGTTCCTGAAACCCAGCAGAGAAGGCTGTGAGGAGGGCACGATGGAGATGTGCCCTTTCATTAACAGGCACGGCAGCCCCGGGTGATCCCTGGGGAGAGAGCCAGGAGGATAAATAATCTGAGTTTACTCTCTTCTCTCATTTCCATCTTCTGCTGGAGCTTCCCATTGGCTGAACCAACAGGAAAGGGAGGGTAAGGGAGACCAGTCCATACAGGCAATGCGACCTCAGACCTTGGGCCCCACACTTTGAGAGACCCCACAATCCCCTGCCCAATGTGGGCCTCCATCTGTACTCATGTCTAGATCTCCACAAATATTAGGGGTAGGCCTGCCTCCGGGTCAGCCTCCGGGAGCCCGGGGCAGGGTGAGAAACGGTGGAGGGGCCCTGGCCAGTGTGGCTCAGCAGTTAGAGCGTCAGCCTGCAGACCGAAGGGTCAAGAGTTTGATTCTCAGTCAAGGGCACGTACCTAGGTTGCAGGTTTGATCCCCAGCCCCTGTTGGGGTCCAGCGGGAGGCAACCAATTGATGTGTCTCTTTTACATCGATGTTTCTCTCTCTCCCTCCCCCACTCCCACTCTATCCAAAAGAAAAAGAAAAAATATCCTCAGGTGAGGATTAACAAAAAAAGAAACGAAAATGGTGGAGGGATGTGAGAGGAGGCTTCTGGGAGGAGGTGGTTTCTGGGCTGTGACAGTCTGCTCCACACCCCACCATCTCCCCTTCCCAGATGGTGCTTCAAGAGGCAGCTGGTGGACTTGGTGATGGAGGGGGTGTGGCAGGAGCTGCTGGACAGCGCCCAGATTGAGATCTGTGTGGCCGACTGGTGAGTGAAGAATGGCAACCAGCCCCCAGAACCAATGGTGGTGGCAACCATTCTGCAAAAGGGGCTCGTTTCATGCCCCCATCGATGCCAGGGGCTGGCCAGTGCTGCCGTGCCCCCTTCATAGTGAGGCTTAGGGGGGAAGTGATGTCCTTCTAGTTGCGGAGCGGAGGGGGCGGGGGGGGGGAGAGCGGGGGGGGGGCGGAGCCTGGGTGAGCCCAGAGCCTGGACTCTGCCCTCCTCCCCACCCCCTTCCCAGCGGGCCAGGGTGATTGACAGGGGGCCACAGACTGCATTGGCTTGGTGTGACACAAAGTATCTCCTCCCACTCACTCCACCTCCATCACCTGCAACTCCGCCCTGACCTAATGGCTTGCGGCTGCCAAGCACTCAGAAAGGTTGGGAGCATTGTACCCTGAGGCTCAGAAGGGAGCCTGCGTGCCTACGACGATCTCCCAGTTTCCTTCATAAAGCTCTCGGACACCCTCCAGCTCTTGCTCCTTCACAGATAATCCAATCTCTTCCCTGGGGTTCTGACTCCTCCCCAGAGCACCCGGATTCCTTCTTCAGGCTCCTCCACCCCGGGTGGTGGTTTCTCCCAGGAGCACCATACTCGCCCCACTCGGCCTCGCACACCTGACCCAAAGTCTTCAGAATCCACCCCGGGAGTGACCAGGCTCCACCCCCAGGCTCCACCCCCACCCTTGTTGTACCCAGGCTCCTCCCCCTAGAATCCCTGACACCTCTACATATGGGTGTGGGTGTGTGCAACCCGGATCAAAGTGCAGGGAGGCTCAGCCCTGGACCTCTCTCCTCCCAATCCAGAGATTGGGGGTGGGGTGGCGGGGTCATCAAGGCTCACCCCCACCGGGCAGGTGGGGCGCCCGGGAGAACTGCGGCTGCATCTACCGGCTCCGGGTCCGTCTTCTGGACGTGTATGAAAACGAAGTGGTCAAGTTCTCGGCCTCCCCCAACCCGGTCCTTCAGTGGACCGAGAGAGGCTGCCGACAGGTGAGTACAGGCGCCCTAACCTCACTCTGCGCGGGCTGCCTCCTCAACTTGCCTCTGGCTGGGTATCTGCTAGTTCGCGCCGACGATCCTGGAGCCCTCATCACATCCCAGGCCCTATTCCAAGAGTTTTCCCTACTCATTCATGTCATTAGCTCAACAACCTAGTTGTTCAACATACATTTATTGAGCATCTACTGTGTGCTGGGCACTGCTCTAGGTGCGGGGAATGCAGTAATGAACCAAAGTCTTTGCTCTATCCCCATTCTAAAGGTGAGGAGCCTGAGGCACGGGAGGTCGTGTGACTGGCCCAAAGTCACACTAACGTGTGCAGGGTCTGATTCAAGCCCAGAATGGCACCCAAGCGTGTGCTGTCAAAATCATCGCATCTGTTATCGAAGTAACCTTTCAGGTGGTGGTTTCCACTCCAGATCTCCCCCATCCAACAGACTCACCATCCAGAAAGATCCCATTACAAAGTGAGTCAGATCACTAGCCTCCCTGCTTGTAACCCTCCCATAGCTACATCTCAGAGTGAAAGGCAACGTCCCATCACGCTGCTGTTAGAGGAAATGAGTGCAGACCCATGCTACAACACGATGAACCTTGGAAACAATACATTGTGAAAGTGGCCAGGCACCGAAGGCCACATATCGAATGACTGCATTTGTATGATTCGTCCAGAGTAAACAAAGCCATAGAGACAGAAAGCAGATTAGTGGTTGCCAGGGGCTCGGGGGAGGGAAGAATTGGAAGTAATGGCTAATGGATATGAGGGATTTTTCCCCTGGGGTGAGGGAAGTTTCCAGAATTAGATAGTGGTGATGGTTGCATAACATCATAAGTGTACTAAAAACCGCTGAAGTGTACAGTTTAAAACGGTTCATATTATGTTAGGTGAATTTTAGGTCAATAAAAAAATTTGCAAGAGATTAAAAAGCCAGAAGCCCAAGTCCTTCTGTGGCCCAGAGGCCCCACACCATTTGCTGATTGCCTCCTTGACCCCGTTTCCTACTTCTCCCTTCACTGGGCTCCTACCTCAGGGCCTTTGCACTGACTGGTCCTCTGTCTAGAACTCTTCCTCCAGAAACCACCTGGCTCTCTCCCCTCCTTCAGGTGTCTGCTCAAAGGCCACCTCAGTGGGGCCTTTGCTTACTCTCTTTACAAACCCACCTGCTGCACAATTCCCTCTGCCCCTTGCCCCATCTTACCCATGAGTCCCCTACTGCATGGTCAGCTCCACCGGGGCAGGGTCTTTGTGTTGCTGGGATATAGCTCTAGGTGCTGTATCCCAGCACCTAGAGCAGGGCCTGGCACCTACTGGATTTGGGGGAGTATCTGTCCAGTTGGTCGAGGAAGAATCCAAAGGTCCTCACCATCTCGCTTCCCTTCCCCACGCAGGTCTCCCACGTCTTCACCAACTTTGGCAAGGGCATCCGATATGTGTCTTTTGAGCAATATGGGAGAGACACGCGTTCCTGGGTGGGGCACTATGGCGCCCTTGTGACCCACTCCAGCGTGAGGGTCAGGATCCGCCTGTCCTAGCCCACCAGCCTGATCAGGCCTTTCAGGACCTACTGCCACCTGCCAGACATCATGGCCAATCAAGGGCAGCTTTGTAGCCAGGAGCCAGAGGATGCCCAGGGACAGCAGGGGGTCCTTGCTCCCAGCCAGCCTCCAGCAAACCCCACTTGCGGCTTCAGCATGGTGGCCCACGTGCTGCTCGGGAAACCAGGGATCCAACACGGCTGCTCACAGCTTCCCAAGTCAGGGGGTTCAAGGAATGACCGAGACTTTTACTTTGCCTACAAACTGTTTTCTCATGTGTGGATGTCAGCTGACCAAGTCGAAAAAACAAATGCCAAAACAGGATCGCTGATGTAGAAAAACTGCTGACAGCGGGGACAGTGACCCTCGTTGGCATGTTTCCGAGTTAAGCTGATGGCCAGCAGGGAGCAGAGGTCCCCTTGAGGGGACCAACGGGGGCATTGAAGGGAACCCTTTCTGCTATTCTGGGGAGTCCCTGGGATTCAGCTTCGGGGCCCATGCAACCTCCTCCAGCACTGCCCCATCAGCACCCCACCCCCCGGGGGCCAGACTGGCACTGTTTCTTGTAGAATCAGACCAGGTCTGTGCTGTGCCCTCCACCCACACCCCTGCCCCTGCCCCTGGAGCAGCCCGGCTCCTGTAAGGCAACACGCTCCTTTTCTCCACCACAGCCCACCTGCACGCACACTCCGAGCGAGGCGTGCGTGAGGGAAAGCTCGCCTGTCCCCGCTCCCCGTGTCTCCCACTCCTTCCCCAGATGGGTACAGCCACCAAACTAGCTCAGTAAAATCGGTGCTAAATGTGAGGTGATGGAGGACTTGTCTGTAATCAGTGCACTTATCCACCTCCCACTCCGATCCTAAAAGGCCCGGCGGGATGTCCTCTCAACTGAGAACTGCAGGAGGCGGGCTGAGCACTGAGGAGACAGAGGCAGCTCTGCCCGGTCTCGGCGGTTCTCCCAACAGCTCTCAGGCAGGCACTATTACCAATGCCTTTAGTCCAGGAGGAAACAGGCTCAGAGTTTAATGACCTGCCCGAGGTCACCTGGCCAGTAAGTAGAGGAGGCAAGATTTGCCCCTGAGTCGGGCTCCAGAGCCCAAGGATATAAGCACAAGCTCCTAATCTTAAACTCTAACATGGCCAGGCATATGATCAGGTGAGGACAGTGCTACTTTCAGGACCATTGTCCAAGGGACAAAACAGGCCCAGGGGCGGGGGGGGGGGGGGACCAATATACCCAAAATCATAGAACTGAGAAGTAGAGGCAGGATTTGAACCAAGGTGTGCGATTCTGAGAACAACACAGAAGAGACGTTCCCACGTAGGCAGCAGCCCCCAGCCCCCAGCCCCATTCAATCCTTTCTCAAAGCTTCTTCATCACGACCATTACAATTACTGCCATTTTCAGGAGGAAGCTTGAGTACAAGCCTTTCCTTGTCCAGACACCGGGCCTGCAGGAAGGGCAACTGGGTCTGTGCTACCACCGGACTCCAAACCTTAAAACAGAGTAGCCATCCGTATATGCTTTGCTCGCAGAGTCTAATCTTCACCAAACCCAGCAAAGGGGATGCTGTGAGTAGGGGAGGAAAGAGAGGCCCAGAGAGCATGACAGTTGCTGATACCATGCAGGGTGATTACCCAGCGAGGGGTACATATCAAACCACAGGTGTACATATCTGTATGTTTATTGCAGCCCCTCCCCCTCAGGTGGCAGCAGTGTACTGTCCCAGCAGAAACCTCCCGCACCAATGCTCTATACTTGGACACCAAGGGTGTCAGCAGAGAGGCACCTTTTCTATTTCGCACCCAGGAGCCCTATTGGTGGTTCTGATGGAAGAGGTGCAGCCAGAATTTGAACCAGGACCAGCTGCTTCGAGAGCTGGCCTAGCTTCCCAAGGATACCACAGGAAACCGGAGACAAACATTCTTGTTCTGTGTGAACCCCAGCACACCGTAGCCCTGGCGGTCACTTCTTCTTCTGCACATGGCCACAGTCGTACTTGCCACGCACAACCTTGAGCTTGACGCCGGGCAGATCCTGGGTGCGCCCGCCCTCCACGAGCACGATGTGGTGCTCCTGAAGGTTGTGGCCCTCTCCCGGGATGAAGCAGACAGCCTCGCGGCCTGTGCTGAGCCGGACTCGGCAGCACTTGCGGTTGGCAGAGTTGGGCTTCTTGGGTTTACGGATGAACGTGCGCAGAACCACGCCCTTCAGCTGCGGCCGGCCTTCTGTAGGGCCCAGACGTGGAGGTGGCCGCTTCGGAGGCCCCTGGCGGTGCATTTGATTCAGGGTGGCCATGGGGCGGGTGGGCCAGAGCCGGGGGACCAGGGCTAGGCCTGGAAAGACAACCCAGGAAGGCAGAAGGGGGTTATTATCCCAATAAACAGATAACAGTATTAGCAACTCAACTCTGATATTCTAGGCACTGCTCCAAGCACTTCACAAGATGCCTGTTTCCATCTCGGGACACTCACGGATAACGATAACAACTAACATTTAATGAGCAACCACCACGTGCCAGGTTCTATTTTAAACATTTTACATGGATTAACTCATTTTATTCTGCAAGGAAGGTATTCATTTGAGGTCTGTTTAAACAGGAAAACAAAAGCACACAGGCTCACAACGTTCGCATATTGTTCTATGCATCACCCCTACATTAACTCATGCCATCCCCATAGCAACACTATGGGGTGTTCCAGGGGGGTGTCACTCCTCCTCCTCCAGTCACACCCGCTTCCACAGCCTGTGAGCAGATCCTGTCAGCTGAACTTTCCTATAGACCCTTTCTCCCTCCTCCATTGCACCCACTCCGGTCCTGTCCACCCTGTTCTCCTCCCAGGTCTTCCCACTTCTACTATCTGTTCCAACATGCAGGCAGAGGGACCCCGAGGACACCTGGATCAGATCACATCCTTCCCCTGCTCAGAGCCCTCCTGAGGGGCCATCTCACTCAGGCTGAGTCAAAGTCCTCCCACCAGGCCCCACAGGGTCTGCCCCTAGTACCTCCCTGACATCTCCTCACTCACCCCCTTGTTCACCCAGCTGCAGCTGGGTCCCCAAACACGTTAACAGAAAGCAGACCCATGTGGCTGCACTGTGGTAAGAGGAAAGGCAGGTGGGGAACACTATGTTTCCAAGACAAACCCACAGGATTTGCTCATGGATAGAAAGTAGGACGCAAGAAGACTCAAAGATAACTGGATTCTCTGTAACAAACATTCACTGAGTACCTACTGTGTCTTGGCCCCAATAATGGAGACACAGTAGTGACTGAGACAGCCCTGGACCATGCCCTCTTAAGCGTTCCAAGTCCGGGGTTTGGGATCCATCCCTTCCGGTCACTAGCATGGATGCCCTTTCACACCCAAACTTCACACCCCCCTCTATATGCAGGGCGGGTTCTCGCCCTACTGTCCATGTCCATGTCTCTCTGTCTCAAGTTACAGCAGAACCCTCCGAGGGAACATTCCTAGAAGTCTTCCTCGTGGTGTGCTCTGCAGCTCAAGACCCTCACTTACCATAATTTAGGGACGCGTTGAGGCCACGGAAGAGGCCGGACCAGGACATCACGCCGCCTGCAGCCTCCCTGTGTTAGGGGATCAGAGACTCAGAAACCAGGAGGGAAAGTGGCCGAAGTCGGGCTAGGATCCAAATTCTCCCCTTCCCACTCTCGGGACCTTCTGGTTAAATCTAAGGAAATTTCCTCTGACGCTTCGCTCTAGGCAGGCTTTTGGGGACCCAACCGCCCCCGCCCGCATAGTGAAGTAAAGAGGAAACTGAGCGGAGAACCAAGGAGGTTTGCAGGACCCCAGGATTCCATCGACCTCACCGACCCTAGTACAGCCCGCAGACACGCTGAATCCGGCCTCCAGCCACTTCCGAGGGTTAGCCCGGCTGGGACTGGCAAGTTCTGCCTCTCACGGACACCCGAAGGGGCGTGGCAAAGACTGCGATTGGGCAATGACCGCAGTCAATCTCCGCCAACTTTTCTCATTGAACCACTTTTTGAGACATGGGAGGGGCTCACCTCTTCCAGGTCTGAGTGGCTCGTCCCGAGCAGGACGGCTGCTTTGCAATTGGTCTAAACGCGGAGTGGGCGGGACGAAGGGTGTGTGTCTCCTCGTTCCTCGGCCAAGATGGCTGCGTCCATAGCTCGGCGCCTGTGGCCTTTGGTGGCCTGCCGAGGGCTTCAGCCCCGGGGAGGTTGCGTCTGCAACCAGAGCCCAAGGAGAAGTTTCGCAACCGAGAGACGAGAACGGAACCTCCTGTACGAGCACGCACGCGAGGGCTACAGCGCGCTTCCTCAACTGGATGTGGAGCCGCTGTGCTTACACCCAGAAGAAGCGGCGCGCACCCTGGAGCACCGCAAGGGGGAGCTGCGGCCCGACGACCTGCCGGCGATCGTGAGTGCGCTTGCGCAGGCCAGCCACGCGTGCGGAGTATTTTGCCTATTGGCTGTTCACTTTATGGGCTTGCAAGACACTGTCCAGCAGGGGGCGGTCTTATCGCAGGAATTTTACTTCCCAAGTGTAGCCAGCGTGCTCGGACGTCATGCGTGTGCCAGTTGTGCACCGAGTGCTAAGGTCCTACTCTCTAGGTACTCATTATGCGCCTGTTCCATAAAGGGTGCTGGGTATCTACTCTGTGCTGGGGACTTTGGGCCAATGTTCTCTGTGCTTCGACTTCTTGCTAGGCTTATCCTAAGGCTAAATCCAAAAGAAAAGGGGGACAGGGCTGTGAATCTGACGGGGGTGGGAGAGTCGGGGTGGTTCTTGCCTTTGGAGAGTCAGAGGTAGAGTCCTGCATCTGCTTCAGGCATGGCAGGCAGTTAAATAGGGTTGTTTAATGAATAACTAGGTATTTAGGGAGCGCCTGTGTTCCTGATGTTGAGACTAAGTGGTGAATAACAATTTTTTTAAAAATACGAGCACTTCGCCCCGCCGGTGTGGCTCAGTGGTTGAACATCGACCCATGCACCAAGGGGTTGCTGGTTCGATTCCCGGTGGTGGCACAGGCCCAGGTTGTGGGCCTGATCCCCAGTCAAGGGGCATGCTGGGGGTGACCAATCGATGTTCTCTCTTATCGATGTTTCTGTCTCTCTCGCACTCTCCCTTCCTCTCTGTCTAGAAATCAATAAAAAGATTTTAAAAAAAACACAAAAAACTGGCACTTCTGTAATACTACTTTTGGAGAACTACGACCAGAGTCACCATACTTGTAGGTGCTGCTGAGGGGTTGAGGATGGTGGGGACCCTTGCAGCCCTCTCTTGGACTCACTCACCATCCTTTTCCAAGTGCTTTATGAATATTAACTTCATTTAAGTTTTACAACAACCCAGTGAAGTAGGTGCCATAAGGCTCAAAGACGTTAGTTAACTAGCCCAAAATCGTGTAGCTGGTAAGTGACAAGTGGGAATTTGAACCTATGCTGTTTGGCTCCAGAAGCCAGTCTGACCACCCCATTGTGCTTACTCAGGAGCAAGACGATCTGAGTTCACAGTCTAGTTATGGAGATAGTTGACATACAATTAAAAACATATAATTAATCTCTGGTAAGTGCTGTGAAGACAGAGTAGAGAACACAGTTCTGGGGGGGGCGCCGCAGAGATGGTGGCATTAGGCAAACATCTGTGGAATGAGTGAGAAGAGTGTCCCAAGTGGAGGGATCAGCACTACTAAAGCCTCTCTAGGTCAAAATATCCATTTGGTGGACATGTAGGTAATTTAGGGTCTTTCAAAGTTTGTAACCTAGACTAAGAAATATATTTCACATCCTGAACTAGTACACACACCCCAAGATGAAACCAGTTTTATTAACAATTCTTGCTCTTACTATGTGTGATGCATTCTTATGTTTTATTGTATTTTATTTAATATTAAAAGTGCTGGCTTAGACCAGCCCAACCCATGCAACAAAAGGTTGCCAGTTGGATTCCCGTCAGGGCACATGCCCAGGTTGTGAGCCCGATCCCCAGTGGGGGACATGCAGGAGGCAGCCGGTCAATGTTCTTTCTCATTGATATTTCTCCCTCTCCCTCTCCCTTCCTCTCTCTCTAAAAATCAATACAGAAAAAAAAAATGTTTTAAAAAAAGGGCAGAAAATAACAAGTTTTGGCAAGGATGTGGAAAAACTGGAACCCTCTGCATTGTTGGGAACGTAAAGTGTTACAGTTACTGTGGAGAAACAGTCTGCAGTTCCTCCAAAAATTAAACATAGAGTTAGCGTATGATCCAGCAATTCCACTTCTGACTATCTGCCTCCAAGAATTGGAAGCAGGGACTTGAATAGACATTTGTACACTCAAGTTCATGGCAGCGCTATTCACACCAGCCAAAATGTGGAACCAGCCCAAATGTCCATCGACAGATGCATGGCTAAACAAGATGTGATGTGTGTGCGTGTGAATGTTGTTCAACCTTAAAAAGGAAGGACTTTTTGACATGTGCTAGATAATGGATGAACTTGGAGGACATTATGCTAAGTGAAAAAAAATCCAGTCACAAAAAGGAATACTATGTGATTCCACTTATCTGAGGTACTCAGAGTAGACAAATGCATGGAGACAGAAAGTAGAAGGGCGTGGCCAGGGGTGGGGGAGGGGGAGAATGGAGTTAGTGTTTAATGGATACAGAGTTTCAGTTTGGGAAGATGAAAAAGTTCTGGAGATCGAGAGGGGTCATGATAGCACATCAGTGTGAATACATTTTGTGCCACTGAGCTGGACACTTCATAATGACTCAAATGGTAAATCTGATGTGTATTTACCACACCGTTTTGAAATGCTGGTTTAGAGATCCTAAATTAATTTTAGAACCCACGAATGGATCACATCCCAAAGCTTGAAAAGCACCTGTTGAGGGCGTGCAGTGTGAAGAGGGCAAAGGCAAGTGGCTTTGCAGGAAGCAGGGCGTGTGATTTGTTCCTGGGGACAGTGGAGCTGTGGGTGTTTTCTGGCAGGAGAGGAATTGTGGGAAAACTCTGGCCGGATTGGAGGGGGTGAGCCTGAGGGCTGGGATCCTCGTGGGAAATGACAGGATCTGGGGTGGCCAGGAGAAGGGGATTGGGGGAGATTTGATGGATGTTCACAAGGCAGCAAGGACAGGACATGGTGCCTCAGGGCTGGGGTGGCACCCAGGAGGAGGCCCAGGGCTTTGGGAAGGGGCACAGGAGTTGGTAGGGCTGTCCTGAAGGAAGAGGAGCAGATTTGGGGGAGATGTTTTTCCTAGAGTCCCTCTCGCACATGGGGAGCGCGAAGTGTCCAGGGAACATCCAAGAGAGTAGCAGCCCACCCTGTGGCCTCCTCCCCTTCGGGTTTTGCAGCCCCGGGGCAGTAGGGCAGTGTCTGTACCATTTTGTCGAAGGGAAACTGCAACCAGAGAGGACAAAGGACTTTGCCCAGGGATCTGGGCTCCCAAAAAGCCTGCACGGCAGTATGTGTGCCCAAGAAACGAGCTGGGGTGCTGATCTGGCCTGCCCCTCCTGACCCCTGTGTTGGAGAGAGCAGGGTTAGCTGCTGTGGCAGCCCCTAGGCTAGGCTCTCCTGCTGTGACGTGGGTGTGGCCTCAGCTCCATGTCCCTCTGTGCCCAGGTCCTTCCATCTTCTTGCTCTGTGTCCCTTAGAATGTTCTGTTCAGCTTTTCAGGTCTCTTTAGGGTCCATCATCCAATCCAAGGGGACTGAGAAAGGGAAAGGTCAGGAAGTCCTAGTACTGAAGGGCAGTGGAAAGAATGACTACTGGGGACAGCGGGTCTCTCCTCGCCCCACCACTGGTCCAGGTGGCCGGCGGCATGAGGCTCCAGCCAGAAAGGACAGTTGGTGTTTAATGGGCACAGTGTTTCACATTGTCCCCCGCGTGTCCACCCCCAGATCGCGACATGGCAGGAGCTGAGGCAGCTGCGGGAGCAGATCCGGAGCCTGGAGGAGGAGAAGGGGGCTGTGGCTGAGGCCGTGCGGGCCCGGCTGGTGAGCACGGGGGTCCTAAGTGTGTGTGTGTGGGGGGGGGGGGGCAGGATGCTTCCGGCTGCTTTTAATGAGAAACCCAGTTTAAGGAACTTGAAGGATGTGGACATTCATTACCTCCCATAACAAGCTGTCCAGGGCCGGGCGCCTCTGAGGTTGATAAATTAGCGGCTCCCCCAGCACCCCCAACCCAGGTCCTGTCCCTCTCCACCCGTGACTTCTCTGTGGTGACTTGACCTCAGTTTCCCCTCTCACAGTTCTTTTTTTTTTCTTAATCCTCACCCGAGGACATTTTTCCATTGTTTGTTCAGATAGAGTAGGAAGGAGAGAGAGGAAGAGAGAGAGAGAGAGAGAAACATCGACGTGAAAGGGACACATCAAGTGGCTGCCACCCACACGACCCAACCAGGGCTGGGGACAAACTGCAACCGAGGTACGTGCCCTTAGCGGGAACCGAACCCGGGTCTCTCTGGACCGCAGGCCAACGCTCTAACCACTGAGCCAAACCGGCCAGGGCTCCCCTCTCACAGGTCTAAGATGGCAGCTGCAGGCCAGTCTCCTCCAGTGACTCAGCCAGGGGCAGAAAATGGGGCTTCTCTGGCTCGAGTGCCGTTTCGGTGAGCAGGGAGACCTTCCCGGAGGCCTCTCATTCTCGTGGGCCCAGACGCCCCCGCTCACACCTGGCAGCAGCAAGAGACACCCGCAGCCGGGCCGCAGCCCCTGAACCCTGGGCAGCCTGGGAGGGCAAACTGAGTCCGGTCTGTGGGGAAGGAGGAAGGAGGGCCGGTGAGCTCGGAGTAGACAGCAGACAGCGTTTGCCACAGAGGGCTGAAAAACAACCATGAAGGGACTAGCCGTCGAGCGTGGCCATGTGGCTCGGTGGACTGAGTGTCCTCCCGTGGACTGAGAGGTCCCAGTTTGATTCCTGGTCAGGGCACATGCCTGGGTTGTGGGCTCCATCCCCAGTAGGGGGCGTACAGGAGGCAGCTGATAGATGTTTCTCTCTCTCTCTCCCTAAAAAATCAATAAAAACATATTGTTTTTTTTTAAAAAAAGTTGCCTGGCTGATGTGGCTGAGTGGTTGAGCGTCGACCCATGCCCCAAGGGGCTGCCAGTTTGATTCCCGATCAGGGCACATGCCCAGGTTGTGTAGCCAGTTGATGTTCTCTCTCATCGCTGTTTCCATCTCTCTTTCCCTCTCCCTTCCTCTCTCTCTAAAATCAATAAAGAAAAAAAAAGTTAGGACGTGCCTCCGTCTCACAGCCGGGAGGTGGGAGAGGCAGGGTTCACAGCCAGGCACTGGGGCTGCTTTTCACCACTCCGCTCGAAGGCCTCTCGCTACACTGATGACATCGCCAGGGACCTGCTGTGTGTGTGCCCGGCCCTGGGCCACCAGCACCACAGGGGGCAGCCCATGAAAACACAGTTGATCTCAGTTAATGGTCAGCGAGTGCCATCAGGGAAGCATGCACCAGCCTACTGGGGAGTCTCCTTATCATCCCACTTCACAGGTGGGAATACCGAGGCCCAGCGGAGGGAAGAGATGTGCCCAGAGGCACACAGCTGGTCCGCACCCAGCATTCAGACCCAGGTCTGTCTGATTCCCTCTGCTGCTCAGCATCACAGAGGCTCAGAGTATCAAAGGCCCTTGGTCGCCGGCCTCCAGATACACACTCGCAGACGATCTTTCCGAGCCTCCGTTTTCTCGTCTACAAAGGGAGTCACGTCGGTGCTGACCTCATGGAGCAGGCTATGAACAGCTCGTGTGAGCCCCGGCTCAGAGCCAGGCGTGAGGCAGTGAACAGGCTGCAGGGCTGGTTGTTGTTATGTTATTTTGCCTTCTCCAGCTTTACTAACAGAAACTGAGGCACAGTCGAGGAGGGACCCTGCTAGGCATTGACAGAGCAAGGAATTCAGACCCCCTGGCCCTGTTTGACCTTTCACCCTTGCCCCTCCCTACCCCCAACTTCATCAGGCTAATCACCCTGTCTCTCTCTTTTCTACCAGGTGAACCAGGACAACAGTCAAGTGCAACAGGTACTACGGGGAGTTGATGTCCTGTCCCTGGTGGGGGGGTGGGCAGCATACGTCCTCTCAGTCATGCTTCCTCCGGTGTATGTGACAGTGACAGTCATGATTCCTCCAGTGTATATGACAACTCAAACAGGTTTAAGGAAAAAAGAAAACCAGGTTTAGTTGATTCATGAAACTAAAAAGGAAGCTTCAGGAACAGCTGGATCCAGGTCCGGGCTCCATATTTGGTTCTGCTTCCCTCTTATTCCCAGATCAGCTTTCTCCCCTTGGGGAAGGGAGGCAGGGTCGGTGCAAAGAGAACTACTTCCCTGACAGCTCGGGCCATAGTCCTGGGGCCAGTTCTCACGGGTGTGGCTTGTGTCATGTGCCTGTCTTTGAGCCAATCACTGTGGCCAAGGCAGTGGAATGTTCCAGTAATCCAGGCCTGAGTCATGTCCCCATGTGCCATGCGAAGTGGAAGGGAGGAGGGAGGTTCCCTAAAGGAAACGAAGGGTATTGAACCAAAAGAGGAGGCAGCAAATGTCTGCCACAGAGGTTCTGCCAGCAACGATCCAGGTCGGGCTGGGTAAGGAACTGCCCCGCCCTGCCCTGGGCTGACCCTTCTCACCCTGCCCCCAGGACCCCCAATATCAGAGCCTGCGGGCACGTGGCCGGGAGATCCGGAAGGTGCTCACGCTCCTGTACCCCAAGGAGGCCCAGCTCGAGGAGCAGTTCTACCTGCGGGCGCTGAGGCTGCCCAACCGGACCCACCCAGACGTGGTAAGCCCCGTGCTGGGCAGCGGGCAGTGCCACCGTCTTGGTCAAGGAGAAAAGAAAACCAGATTTTCTCCCTGCAGCCCATCGGGGACGAGAGCCAGGCCCGAGTGCTACGAACGGTCGGAGACAAGCCAGGTGGACCACACTGGGCCCGGGCACCCCAGGCTGGGCGGGGCTCCTGGGTCTGGGCTGTGCTGACTCCGTCTTCCTGCCTCACCGGGCTCTGGCTGAGGCTCTGCGGGGCAGTCTTCATTCTCTCCCCTCACCTCATCGGACTTCTCCCCTGTCTGTGTGCCCGCGCGTGTCTGTCTGTCCCACTGTCTTGCTTTGGTGCCATCTCTCCCGGGCTTTTCCTCCCTGGCTCTCTGTGTCTCCTCTCTGACCCTCTCTCTCCTCCTTTCATGCTTCTGCCTTCCAGCTCTTTCCAGCCCCCACCTCTGCCTTCAACTTACTCCCTCTTTCGCGTCCTTCCTCTCTCCATCCCTTTTCCTTCTCTGTCTTCCTCTTTCTTCTCTCCTCTCCCTTCTGTGCCGCTGCCTTTCCCTCCTGCTGCCTCCCTGTCTTCTCCCTCTCTCCCAGTTTCCCCCTTTCCCTCCCTTACCCCATTGCTTTTCGTCCACATCCAGCTTTCTCCTTCCAACCCCGGGGCCACCTGGAAATCGCCGAGAAACTCGACATCATCCGGCAGAAGTGAGCGCCCTTCCCACCCCTTGCCCCGCCCTCCCACCCCCGCAGCTGGCCGCCGGCTCACCTCCCCGGGGCCGGGATGTGGAACCACCGGGCCGCGCCCCTCATGCATGTTTGATGCCCCGGCCCCGTTTGGCAGCTGCGCCTCTGCCCCGGGGTACTTGAGTCCCGCTCTGCCCCCAGCCTGGCCCACATGGCCCCACGTGTCTGCCCATCTGTCTCCCAGGCGCCTGTCCCACGTGTCTGGCCACCGCTCCTATTACCTGCGCGGGGCTGGAGCCCTCCTGCAACACGGCCTGGTCAACTTCACACTCAGCAAGCTCATCCAGCGGGTATGGGCCGAGGACGGAGGGCTCCCTGGAGGGGGTGGCTTTGAAGCTGAGCTCAGAAGGCTCAAGGCAGTGAAGAGGGGATGTGGCCTCTGTTCCAGGCACTGTTTTCAGAACTTTACATGTATTATTGATGCATTCAGTTCTTACGACAGCTTTATGAGGAGGATACTAGTATTGTCCCCACTTTAGAGATGGAGACATAGAGGCATGAAGAGGGTAATAAGTAGCCAAGGCCTCCCGGCTAGTGTGTAGGCTCACGGCTAGGCCTATACTTTTCTTAAATTCTCACCAAGGATATTTTTCCATTGGTTATTGTTTTAGATAGAGTGGGAGGAAGGGAGGGGAGAGAGAGAGAAACATTCATGTGAGAGAGGCACTTTGATGGGTTGCCCCCCGCACAACCCCAACCGGGCCTGGGGATGGAACCTGCAACCCAAGTACGTGCCCTTGACCGGAATCGAACCTGTGACTCTGGTCCGCGGGCTGCCGTAGAGCCTACACCTTGAACCACTGCACTCGCTGCCTGCCTGCCGTGTAAAGGGATTGTTGGGGAAACACGGCGGCCGTGGAAACTGGAGGGGTCGTCCGGGGCTCAGTGCAGGGGCATGGCCATAGCGAGGGACTCGGGCATCACCTGGGAAGCCACGAAGGCTGTAAGCAGGGAGGGACATGTTGAATGACAGCCCCGGCTGCCCAGTACGGTATGCTGAGTGCGGGAACCGTGGAGCACCGGAGGGACCCAGGGACTGGACAGGGCCCCGGCCAGCTCCAAGCCCGCTGCTCGGGCTTCCTCCGCGTCCTGTCAGGGGGAGCGGGCTTTGGAGTGAGAAGGGGGCACCACGGGCCCATCTGCAGCTTCCCTTCGTCAGGCCTGAGCGTGGGGTCTGGGGGACCAGGCTGTGCTTCTCACCCCTGTCCTTCCCCGCACAGGGCTTCACCCCCATGACGGTGCCGGACCTTCTCCGAGGAGCTGTGTTTGTGAGTGAGGACTCGGCTCTCCTTGCCAGGCTGCGTGCTGGGCCCCATTCGGGGGGCCCTGGGCCGGGAGACCGGCTCCCCTGAGGAACGGCCCTGGGGCTGGCCTAAGGGGTCAGGGCGGAACAGGGAGGCCAGGGTGACTGCAGATGCTTCTAGGGGAGGAGCGTGGAGGCGGCCGCGGTCACCTGTCCCCTGACCTCTGTGGCTTGGCCTCCTCAGGAAGGCTGTGGGATGACACCAAATGCCAACCCCTCCCAGATTTACAACATTGACCCCTCCCGCTTTGAAGACCTCAACCTGGCCGGGACCGCAGAGGTGGGGCTTGCCGGTGAGCACGGCCTGGGGGGCGCTGGAGTACACCCCGTGGCCTCCGAGCAGGAGGGGTTGTAGGGGGCAACTTGGAGCACCCGGTGGCGGTGGCGGTGGCGGTGGCGGTGGCGGCTGCCTGGCCAGGATAGCTCAGCAGCCCCAGGGCCGACAGGTACAGCCGGGCAGGTGGTTCACTGTGCCAGCGTCTGCCGGACGGGGCGCCTGGAGGGCGGCCCTGGCTGACCCACCATGTCCCCCTCTCCTCCCAGGCTACTTCATGGACCACGCCGTGGCCTCCAGGGACCTGCCAGTCAGGTGATGCCCAGTCCCTGTGGACCTCGTCCCCACCTGTGCGGTTCCCTGTCCCCACCCTGACCCCTGCCGTCCCTGCTCCCCCAGGATGGTCTGTTCCAGTACCTGCTACCGGGCGGAAACGGACACGGGGAAGGAGCCGTGGGGGCTCTATCGAGTGCACCACTTCACCAAGGTTGGCATAGCAGGGACTTGGGGGTCACCCCAACAGTCCCAGGGTCTCCTGACTCCTTTGTCCCCCGCCCTGCCCCAGGTGGAGATGTTTGGGGTGACAGGCCCTGGGCTGGAACAGAGCTCGCAGCTGCTGGAGGAGTTTCTGTCGCTGCAGATGGAGGTCCTGACAGAGCTGGGCTTGCACTTCCGGTGCGGAGGGCTGTGGGGGTGCGGGTGGGGGCGGGTGGAGGGGGAGCAGAGAGGGTAGATGCTGGGCTGGTGCTCCGCCGCCTCTCCCTCTGCCCCCTTTCCCCTGCGTGGGGATCGCGTGCAGACTGTGCCTGCCAGTCCCTGAAGTCCTGACTAGGGTTCCGGGATGGGAACCGCAGCCCAGGCAGCACGGGGCGCTCCGGGGCGACCCAGGCCCCTTCCCTCCCGTGGCTCCCCCTCCCAGGGGGGCACGCCCTTCTCTTTAAGAGGTTGGAAGCCTACTTCCCGTTAGTCACACAGAGCTTTCGAAAGACACAGAAATGCAGACTTTCTGGGTGATTCGTTACAAAAATGGGGGGTCCCGTTGTTAGACGGTGGGACTGGCCATGGTGAGCAGCCTGGAGACGCGCCACATGCGCTTCCTCCTCCAGCCTGTATCCCCTCAGCTGCTTCCTGCTCCCCTTTCTGTACCCCGCCTCCCCGCCTCAAGGAGGCGCCCCTTTTGCCTCTGTCTCCTTTTATTACTTTCAGTGCCCACTTTTTTGGCTACTTTTTCTTCCATCGCCACCGTTTTTTCTCCCTCCTCCTCCTCGCACCCTGACCTTCGCCTTGTCTGTCCGCGGCTGCAGGGTCCTGGACATGCCCACCCAGGAGCTGGGCCTTCCCGCCTACCGCAAGTTCGACATTGAGGCCTGGATGCCCGGCCGGGGTCGCTTTGGCGAGGTGAGCCCCCCACAGTGGGGACACAGGATGGGAGGAGGACGACCCCCCCAGCTGATCCTCAGCCCCCCCCCCGCCCCCCGCAGGTCACCAGTGCCTCTAACTGCACGGACTTCCAGAGCCGCCGCCTCCACATCATGTTCCAGACAGAGGCCGGGGAGCTGCAGTTCGCCCACACAGTGAGCGCCCGCACTCTCGCGCCTCCCCCCCACACCACCTCGGCACCCCCTGAGGCCGGCCAGCGGCCTCAGCCTGTGTGCCTGTCTCCCAGGTGAATGCCACGGCCTGTGCTGTCCCCCGCCTGCTCATCGCCCTGCTGGAGAGCAATCAGCAAGAGGTGAGGGGTCTGGCTGGAGCGGCTCAGTGGGTTGGGCGTCGTCCCGAGCACTGAAAGGTCGCTGGTTCGGTTCCCAGCCAGGGCGTGTGCCTGGGTTGTGGGTTCGATCCCCGGTGGGGGGCGTGCAGGAGGCAGCTGATATTTTGCACTCGCGTTGGTGTTTCTCTCTCTTCCTTTCTCTTCCTATCTCTAAAAGTCAATTTTTAAAATCTTAAAGAAATAAAAGGGTGAGGGGCCAAAGGCTCATACCCAGGGGGGCAGAGGGTGGAGGGCTAGTGCAGCGGCAGCATCCTGAGGCCCGCTTTGTCCCCAGGACGGCTCGGTCCTCGTGCCCCCTGTCCTCCAGCCCTACCTCGGCACCGATCGGATCACAGCCCCCACCCACGTGCCCCTCCAGTACATCGGGCCCAACCAGCGCCAGAAGCCAGCGCTCCCGGGCCAGCCTGCCCCGAGCTGAGCACCCAGCCTCAGCAGCCACCAGGGTTGTGTCTGCGTCCTGGAGCTTAGGGGACCCTGGACCCCTGAGACACGTTGTCCTGAGCCTGTCCTGATGTCTGTATTCCTCGTCAGCTCCACACCTGGCCCTGTGGACTCCAGGGTCCACCCTTCCGTCTCCCCTGCTGCCTCAGAATCAGTGACCCTGCTGTACTGAGGGTCCCAACCTGTACTGAGAAGCAGGACATCTGGGGACCTGAAGTCTCTAGGGATGGGAGAAGGAGAAGGACCTTCACTCCTCCTTCCTTCTTCCCTTTTCCCCTCAGTGCTTAGCACAAAGTCCCCAATAAATGGTCAGAACGACGACCTCTGTGGATCTGTGAGCAAGGGCGCCGGTCCTGGCTGCCTAGCGGGGGGTGGGGCAGGGCATCGCTCAGAAGTGCTAACTCTTCAAAGGGGCTGTGGCTGGAAATATCCAGCAACTCTCGGGGCTCGTGGACAGTAGCTTGGGGGCCTCCAGGGGAGCTGAGAGGATGCCAAGGCCTCTCCCCTTTGGGACAATGGTACCTCATGCTGACCCTTTTCAACCTTACCCCTCAGTCCCCAGCTGCAGGCAGGGGGCCAGTGGGCAGCAGCTGATGAAACCCGAACCTGCTCGTCCCCTGGTGTGCCCATCACAGTGTGGAGCCATTTCCCTCGACTCCTCTGCATCCGCGCCCAGTCCATCTGCAGCCCTGGGCAGCCCGGCCGTCAGAAGGTTTCCAGGACCTGCTCTCTGTCCCGGCCCCTCCATGGTCCTGTCCACCACTGCCTCCCATTTAGAGAGTCATGCGGCCTCTCTGCTCTCTCCTTGCTCCTTGTCCCCACACACAGCCAGAGGGACCCTGTGACCCGGACATCAGGGCATGTGCCCTCTGCTCAGAGCCCTGCTGTGGCTCCAGCTCACTCAGGAAAGGACAGGGTTGTCACTGTGGTTCACAAGGCCCCACGTGACCTACTCCCTGCCTTCCTCTTCAAACCCCACTCTGTCACGTCCTGGCCGTTCCCAATTCGGCCTCTGCGCTCGCTCGTCCCCTCCCGGGCTCCTGTTCCCCTAGATCTTGTGCAGTTGCCTCCATTTTATCACTCAGGTCTTTGCCCAAGGCCCACCTCAGAGGACTTCCCTGACCTTCCTGGCCACGGAGGAAAACCCCCATCCTCATGCATGCGATGCGCCACAGCCCCTTCCTCCTTCCTGACATTGCCTGTGACTGTTGTCTGTCACCTTTCTCAAGTGCCTGCTCCCAGAGGGCAGGGCAGTTTGCCAGTCCGTCACAGCAGCCGCCTCATTGGGCATACAGTAGGTGCTCAATAAAAATTACAGGCCTGAACATGCTCCAACCTGAGCAGTTCCCAGTACCCAGAACTGCCTAAATTAGCTTATACACCTGTTCATTTATGTAATCCTTGCCGTCAAGCCCCACGTGTGGAGTAGGTTTTCACCGGCCCTGTTTTACAAATGAAGAAACCGGAGTCAGAGAGGTTAAGCAATTGTCCCAGGGCTGCAGGGCTGGGAATTGAGCTGGGAGTCGGGTAGAGCCTGGTCATAACCTCGGGAGTAAGCGATGAAACCCATTTTCCGGATGAAGAAACAGGGGCCAAGAAAAGGTAGGAGTTGCCTGAGGTCGGTCAGTAGTGGCTGCTGCTGGGTTCGAACCCAGGCCCTCCTGTCAGACCTTGTTTCTCTGGGGAAACCTCGCTATCCCCATGCTGGTGCCCAGGTGCCAGGAGCGGGAGGGGAGCGGATGCCAGGCGTGGGTCCTCATAAATAATTGAGGGTCTCAGGCAGGTCGGCGCCCCGCAGCTGCTGTCCTGCCTGCGGGGAGAGGGGGCGGCGGTGACGTCACTTCCTTGTGGGGCTCGTGCGGGTTATAAAGGCTGCCGCGCTCCCTGCACAGCGCTGAGGACCCTGGGCAGGAGGCGCCACCATGCAGAGCCGGGGGCCCTGCGCGCTGCGGCTGCCGCTGTCCCCGCTGCTGGTGCTGCTGCTGGGGGCGTGTGAGTGCCAGTTTGCAGAGCAGGGACTTGGGTGACTGGGGCCTGGGACAGCACACGCGGCGGGGTCGGGTGAGAGACTTCATGGGCCGGTGGGCAGGAGCGAGACTGTGGGGACCAGGACCCCGGGGAGCTGGGATCAGCACCGGGGACAGAGCCGGGGTCCTGAGCCCAGTTCCCATCACCTTCCTCCACAGGCACCGCTGTTCCTTTGGCGCCCAGACCCTCCAAGGAGGAGGTAAGGAGTGCACACTCTTGTCCTGCCTCATCTCCTGCACCTCTTGCCCTCCCTGCCCAGCCTCCTCCCCATCATCTCCCTCCCCTCCAACTGCTCTCCTTGCCCCCCTCTGCCCTACCCTCAACCTCCCCTCTGACCCTTCACCCCCAGCTGACACGCTGTCTGGCAGAGGTGGTCACTGACGTGCTGACACTGGGTCGGACCCAGCAAGGCCCCTGCACGGCTCTGCTCCACAGAGGTAAGAGGGGCCCAGGCTCGGGGTCCTCTGGGGACCCCCACCCCACCCGGGGTTCTGCTGGAGGGTATCCTCTTAGCCCAGCGCCTCCCTTTCCCCCTCCACTCGCCTGTCTCTGAAGCCTCTTCTCCTGCTTGGGCTCCATTTCTGGCTGGTGGAGGAGGTGATGGTGCAGCGAGTCCTCGTGCCCTCTCTTCTCCCAGCATGTCCGGCCTGACCCCGAAGACAGGTTCGGGAGGGGCAGAGAACGTCCCCAGCCCCTGGCCCTCCTCTCCCAGCTCCAGGCAGTCCCCCCGTGGGCCTCAGGCGGGCCCCAGAACTCCAGATGTTTCCCAACTGGCTGCACCCAGGGTGCGCGTCCTCTTTCCGCCAGAGATGTGCGAGGCAGAGCCCTACGGCTGCGTGCCCGCCGAGGAGAAAGGCCTGCTGGCTGGAGATTTCAAGAAGCGGGAGACTGGGAAGATGAGGTCCAGCCAGGAGGTGCGGGATGAGGAAGAGGAGGCAGCCGCGGAGAGGACCCACAAGTCCGAGGTGCGGGAACAGGCCGTCCACACGCAGCTCCACGGCCGGCTCCGCCAGGAGGAGGACCATGAGGAGGAGGAGGAGGAGGAGAAGGAGGAGGCAAAGAAGAAGAGGAGGCTCATGGAGACCTTTGAGGGCCTGTGGAAGCAGCACCTAGCGGATGGAGGGGACCCTCAGAAGCGGATGGCAGAGCAGGCCAGTGATGAGGAGACAGCCCAGTTCGAGGCCGAGGAGAAGGGCGTGCAGGTGCTGGGCCGGGGCCGCAGCCTGTGGCAGGGGGCCGAGGGCGGGGGAAGAGAGAGGCATGAGGACCCGCTGCACCACCACCACGGCCAGCCGGAAACCCAGTCCAAGCAGGAGAAGGAAGAGGCTTTGGAGAGAGAGGTGAGTGGAGGAGGCCATGGGGAGCAGGGTGGACCAAATGTCAGTGGAGCTCCTACCAACCAGCTACCAGTGTTGGGCCATAAACAGCAAAATCCCCGTGAGCCGTCCCAGTGAGCAGGACTAGGTAGCAACACCCAAGCAGGGCCACTACTTGACCAGGAAGGCTTCCATTATGCTGACAGTAACCCAGACGGCCACCATTATGCTGACAGTAATACAGGCGGCCCCCATTAGTGCACAGAGCATGAGTTAGTCACCGCTGCTCGTCCTTGACGAGCAAATTGGCCACACGCCACACGCAAAGGCTGCTATGCCTGATTCATGGACTATGGATGGATATGATTGCTGGGTCATGGAAAGTAAGATGTCCCCGTGACTGGTGGCAGGAACCAAACTGGCCATCACCTCCCAAATGGGTCATGGCCTCCAAGTTGGGTACCTTTGCTAGTCCTGTGTCCGCTGCTCTTGGCCATGGCAGTCCCTACAGACCTCGCCACTGGTCATGTTGGCCAACGTCACTCCTCCAGGGTTATGGCAACCACTGTGGTCACTATTGCAGCCCGTGATGACCGCCATATGGCTGCTGCTGGCTGCCACCGTGCAAGCTGACAGAGCCCCGGTCGTGGGCAGCCACTGATGTGCCTGCCTTTGAAGGTGGGCGCTGACCTCCCCATTTCTGATCCCACCAGGAGCAGGATGTGGAGCGGCTGGAGCACATGAGAGAGGAGCTGATGAAGGCGACGGAGATGCTGGGGGAGGAGCTCAGGAGGGAGGGCTGACTCCTGACCTCACGGCCTCCTTCCGCCCTACACACCCTATGGCTCAGGACTGTTGACCACAGCCCCACCTCCCCTGGTGCCCCACTGCACTCCCCAACGCAGGGGTGGGACGAGCTGAGCCTTGGAACCGGGCCTGAGGGGTCAAGTCTGCGCTGGGTAGAGGGGCTGGGCTCAGACTGACTCAGGAAACACTCCGCCACCCATGAAACCCACCCCCACCCTTCTGAGTGAATAAAGCACAAAGAAACGACCGAGGCTCCCGGTGGAGTTTGGGGGGCTGGGGCCCAGGAGTAAACTGGAGCACTGGGAAGGCGACAGTCAATCTCACCTCGTTGTCAGAACTGGGATTTTATTAAATTGGAAATTCTATTAACAATTAAGTCAGATGGGGTCATCAGGGAGAGGTTTGGAAGCCGGGGCAGGAGGTAGCCAGTTGGGGCTCCGGCCACTGTGGACCACGATGTCATCGTATTCATCCTGCAGGCAGAGGCCAGGCAGAAGGGCTCAGGCGGCTGTCACCTGGCCTGCTGCCCAATTTCTCCCACCTACCCTAAGAATTGGGTCTTGCCTTGAAACCCGCGTTTCCCTGCTCCTAGTTCAACTGCGCTGCTCCTAGTTCTCCACCCGCCATTTTCAAGGTCACCTGTGTTCTCCCGCCGCTCGAGCCGGAGCCGGCTGCTTCTCCAGTTCAGCAGTCAGAGCGGCTGAGATCTCCCTCCTCCACCCCTTCCCTCTGCCTTGACCCAAGTTCCGCAACCCCCACCGTGCGACATGGTCCCCTGCCCAAGGGTTCTCCAAAGAACAGCCTCGCCGCCGGCTAAGCTTCCCCACCGCTGCCAGTGTTCGAACCACTGCAGCCCGAGGTCATCTTCCCACGGCCTGAGTTCTGCAATTCCTGCTCCACAAAATCGCTCCCCGTACTACTGCTCACTGCTGCCTGTTGGCCGGCCGCTGCCGCCCGCCGGGGTCCCTCTGCCATTGCATTCATTTCTCAACCACCACAGCCCAGTCCACCCCACCCCCGACTGCCCCACCCCTGCCCAGCTCTCCAATCACGCGGCCCAAGGTCAGTCTCCAGGCTGCGCAGCTTCTCGCGTGTCCCTTCTCGCCCGCTGTCTACGCTGAGCCCCCAGCTGGGCCACCCCGTCTTTCCTCCTGACTCACGCCCTCATCCCCGCTGTCGCTGTCGCTACTGCTGCTGCAGGGGCCAGGCTTGTCGTCCTCATCCTCGGGTTCAGGGGCTCCATGTGCACGGAGGAGGCAGGCGAGGGTGGGGTTGGGCCGGAGCATGGCGCTGCCCAGTGGGGTGCGGCCGCCGTACATGCGGGCAGCAGGGTCGGCACCTGCCTCCAGGAGAAGCTCCAGCACATCGGCTGCTTGGGCCTCCACGGCCAAGTGCAGGGGGCTCCGGCCACACGTGGGCTCCTGCGAGGTGGAGCAGAGAGGTCAGAGGAGGCCCTGCCGCACTCTGGGACAGTCCCCGTCCTGCCACACCTCCTCCCCTGGGCGGCTCACCAGTTTGTTGAGGTCAGCTCCAGCCTCTCGGAGTAGCTGGACCATCTCTGCGTCTTTGTGGATGACAGCCACATGGAGTGGGGTGTGGCCTGGGGACAGAGTGACTGATCTCAGACAATGGGGGTGGGGGGCCTGGGCCCCCAATGCCACAATCCCGGGGGAGGCTTTGTGGCCTGAGGGTGACCGAGTTTGGAGTCTGGCTCCTGGGTTCCTGAGTATGTCAAAGAGGCAACTCGCCTGAGGCAGACAAACTGGCTGGCCTGGCACTGCCGCTGCCTAGGGTGTGGGTCTGGGGCTTATGGCTGAAGAGCCTGGGTTACTAACAGGAGACCTGAGTCTCTGGTCTTACTTCACAAAGAACCTTGAACTCAGATTCCGGGATGCTGAGTGGTTGAAGGACCTGTGAGCCTGGGGGTCTAGGGTGGACGCTGGACACTGACTGGGTCCTGGATGACCTGTCCCTTTGTGAAGGGGCCTGGTCCTAGGCAGTTGGGCTCAGAGATGGGAGAGCCGAGACTCTGGCACCAGGGCCCTGGGGAGACGGTCTTTTCTCCCAGGAGGACTGGCTGAAGAGGGCTGTCCCTGAACTCCGACGTCAATCTCCGGGAGCCCGGGCTGCCAGACTTTCACAGAGGGCTGGGCCTTGAGTTCCTTCATCCTGGCTGGGCTGGGACCCATGGTTGGGGTGGGGGCATGTCTAAGGTGAGTTGTGCCTTCCGGTTGGGGAAACTGGGCCCAACAACTAGATTTGGCCTAGTAGCTCTAGGCCTGTGGGTTCCATGTGATCTAGAGCCTCGAGGTGGGGGTCCTGGGTCCCACACAGCCAATTCTCAATAATCTGGGGTCTGGGCAGGAGTCTTTGGTGCCAGTGCCTGGATCCCGGAAGCCTCGGTATTATTTTCCAAGGGGCTGGGTGTTGAGTCAGGAGAGCTGAGCCCAGAGCCAGGTGCTGTCACCTGGCCCCCTCACCCTCATAGTTTTCAGCCTCCAGCTGCAGCTTCCAGTCCTCCTCTCTCTGGTCCTCTTCCTTCTCCAAGTCGGGTTCGCGGTATAAGGAAACAGCGGTATGGTCGGTGTCAGGGGTGTGGTCAGGGCCCTGAGCGAGGTAGGTGTGGGGGGCTCCCCTAAGGCGCCGGGGACGGGGCTGGAGCAGCACTCGAGCGCAGGCGTGTGCCCCCACGCGGCAGGCCAGGTGCAGCGCTGTGTGGCCTCCACGCTCTGCCACATGCAACCCGGAGCCAGCCGTATACAGCTTCTCCACCGTGGATGCCTCCCCCAGGATGGCGGCCAGGTGCAGAGCTGTCTGCAGGAGCAGAGTGCAGGGGTTAGAGGTCATACTGCGAATCCTGGTCCCGAGCCCTACACTACACTTTAGTGGCTCACCTGGCCCAGGTCATTCTGCAGGTCCAGGTACTCAGTACCAGCCGCAAAGCCTAGGAGGAAATCCAGGAAGGGCTCGTGCTGATGGATCACTGCCAAGTGCAGTGCCCTGAGGACAAGGACAGGGGACAGAAGGCATAAGTCAAGTACTCTTGCATTCACTCATTCAATAAACATAAAGCACCTCGTGTGTGCCAGCCACTGTGACCACAGTTCTGGAACCAGTTCTCAGGGATCTGAGCGGGTCAGGTCAGAGTGCATTCAGAAAACGTGTTTAATCAATATTTATTAAGTCTACCTCCTCTCAAACATGGACCAGATTTCCCTCCGGTCTGAATCAACCAACAAATCAGACAAAACATAGTGTACGAAACAACAGTTTTCAAGATACCGGACAATGTATCATGCAATGAATGATGGTAAGAGACAGGGAACAAATGAGAGGAAGCCTTCGATGGACCGCCACAGCTTACTATCCTGAGAGTTTCCAAGCAAAGATGTAGGCAGAGGGAATCCAGGCAGGATAGGCAGATTGCCTGAGGTGAGGAGATACAGCTGAGGGAGGGGAGGGGCGGGGCGGGGCGGGGCGGGGCGGGGCGCCAAGCAGCTAGAGTCAGAAGATAGAGAACCCCAGAGGAGAGCTGCACAGGGAGAGACCCCGGACATCTGCAGAGGAGCCAATCGAGTATTTAGGAGGACACTGATCAGGGCATGGGTATGGGGAAACTACCCCAGTCTGAAGGAAGTGTCACCCAAAAGGAATAGAAAAGTATGACTATCACTCACATGAGCCTGGGAATAGTTCCTACTATTCCCACCAGCCAGACTAGAAAAACCCGTCATGTACAGGACATTGAGATGAATACTCCAGGTCTCACCTCAGTAGTGGGGAATAATGAGTGCTAGATAGAACACTGCTCAGGACCCACCTAACAAATCGTAAAAGTAAAACCCAAAAGATCAAAATACTTACAAGTAATTTAGCTGTATCCTAGAACAATACTCAAGAATATTTAATAGGAACACAAAACTAATCAACCTAACAAGGTAAAATCCACAATGTCTGGCATCTAATCAAAGATTATCAGGCATGTAAAGCAGGAACACATGACCCATAATTAGAATAATCAATCAACTGAAGCTGACCTAAAAATGATTCAGATGTTAGAATTAACAAACAAGAATGTTAAACAGTTCATTATAATTGTATCTCACATATTCCAAGAATTAAGTAGAGACATGGATGATAAAAGATTACACATTTCAGTCCGGCCGGTGTGGCTTAGTGGTTGATTGTCGACCCATGCACCAAGGGGTCACGGGTTCGATTCCCGGTCAGGGCACATGCCCAGGTTGTGAGCCTGATCCCCAGTGGGGGGCATGCAGGAGGCGGCCAATCAATGTTCTCTCTCATCGATGTTTCTATCTCTTTCTCCCTCTCCCTTCCTCTCTCTCTCAAATCAATAAAGAGAAAAAAAAACTTTTTAAAAGATTACACATTTCAGAAGATTAATAAGTTTGAAGACTTCACAACAGAAACTCTCCAGAACGAAACACGAAAACATTTAAAAATGAAAGAACATTAGTGAGCTGTGGGACAGCTCCTAAAGAAAGAGGTGGGTAGAAAAAAATATTTGAAGAAATAACATCTAGAAAATCCTCCAAACTTGCTGAAAACTCTAAACCCACAGAACTAAGAAGGTGAATGACTGCCTAAAACAAGAAAACTACACCAAGATGCATCATTTAAAATTTTGTTCAGCCCTGGCCAGTTTGGCTCAGTAGTTAGAGCGACGGCCTGCAGAACGAAGGGTCTGGGGTTCGATTCCCGGTCAAGGGCACATACCTGGGTTGCAGGTTCAATCCCCCACCCTGGTCAGGGTCATGCGGGAGGCAGGCAATCAATGTGTCTCTCTCACATCGATGTTTCTCTTTCTCTCTCTCTCTCTCTCTTTCCCTCGCCCTTCCATTCTCTCTAAAAATCAATGGAAAAATATCTTTGGGTGAGAATTAACAACAACAAAAAAAAAAAAAAGAAGAAAGAAAAAAAAGGAAAAGAAATTATGGATTGGGATCAGTTGGGTAGAAAATTGATTTTTTTAAAGGTTTGGACTTGGGGGTTAGAGGTCAGGAAGTCAGGCATCAGAAGTCAGATTTAGGAGCGAGAGGCTGGGAAGCCGGGATCAGAGACGAACAGGGAATCCGATGTCGTATCCTAGGGCCCAGTTTGGCAGCCTAAGGTTCACTCACGTGTCCCCATCCTCAGTTACGTAGCCGAAGACGAGGGGCGCCCACGACAGCCCCGGGCCCAGCTCCGCGCCCAGTCCAGGTCCTCCGGGGGCCGCTGCATCTGGACCCAGAGAGCCCAGGCCACTGTCGCACCACTCGTCGACCTCCGCAGCTTTCCCCAAGCACGCGACCCCGGCCATGGCCCCCCAAGCCTCAGGGGCCCCCCCGGCCGCCCGCCTGCCTGTTGCTGGGCTGTCCCTGGAGCTTTGGCACTTCCGCCCTGCGGGAAATTCCCCGACACGCCTCCTTAATATACCCAATCAGAGTAGGCTAAATCGCTCAAGCCCCGCCCCCTTGCGGACCATGGCCAATCAGAGTTTTTATATGAATTACTGCTCTCTACCGGTCCGCGCATTTTCCCGGCGCCCTTTATCAACATGGCTACCGGCGCGGGGCACTTAGGGACTCGTAGTCCGGCCCTTGCCTGTGTTTTCTTACCTAAAAAGGGCGTGCGCCGGAAGTTGTGCAAAAGCTTGTATGCGGCTGCGCTGGCTGCTGGGAGTTGTAGTTCTCTGTCCTATCTCTGCCCCTACTGTTTCCGGTGCCGTCACGGGCCGAGCAGTCGGTGACAGCCCCGAGGGTCCCCGCCCCGCGCCCATGGCCGAGCCGGACCGTGAGTCGGAACCTCCGTGGGAGGGTTGGGCCGGGCCGCGCCGGGGCCTGGCTGAGGACTGCAGGCCCCGGGGCCCAAGGGCGGGCGTGGTGGGGCAGGAGATAGGGCCTGCATGGGGAGGAGTGGGGTTCGGGGGGCCGTTGCTAAGTGATCCATATTGCTAGGTTGGTGGGTTTCTGGGTCGCGAGGTTTTACGGGTCCATTTGCCATGTCTACTAAGTTACTGATCATCGCGTGTTTCTCGCACCTTGGGTGCCAAGGACCCTCGTTGTGAAGGACTTAGGTTACTGCTGTCCCGGTTGCTAAGGGTACCTGGTTGTTAGGGGGAACTGTAGGATGCTAGGGGACCCCTGATGTCCCCTCCTATCTCTTCCCTCTAGTTTCTGTGTCTCTCCTAAACAGACCATCCCCACCGTACCTCCTCTCCCACACTCACCTCCAGTCTGAGTGTCTCTTCCCTTTTCTCTTCCTTTCTAAACTTACCTCTGTAAACCTAATCTTCCCCGGCACACACTCACACTCTGTCCGGCCTAACTCCTCCTTAGGCGTCCTCCATAACCTGTATCCTTTACTTTCTCCCTCTCCTAAACCTTCATGCCTCAGCCCCTTTGTCTCCTCCCAGCTCTCTCCACTCTGCTTTCCCCATCCCCTCCCTCCCTCCCTCTACCACCACCCCGTATCCCAGTATAACTAGTTTGGTGGGTCTTCTTGCCTTCAGCCCCCTGCTTTGAAGCCCTTCATAACTCCTTAACCATTCCCCCCACTGTAACCACATCTGCTCCCCCTCCTCCCCCAGCCTCTGACCCTGTGGAGACCCAGGCAGGGAAGGTGCAGGAGGCCCAGGTGAGATGGGGGAAGGGTGGAGGGAAGGAGAGAGATGGACTTGTTCCCACACCCCACTCCCCTGGGGGAGGTGACAGAAGGGAGAGTTACCCCAGGGCCCTCAACTCATAGCCCCAGTCCCTCGCCCCACTTCCCAGTTCAGCCTCCTGGGGAATGGTGGATTCTGAGGGCTGTCAGAGAAGAGTGTGCAGCCTCAACCCCAGGGCTGCCCTCCTGAACTTTCCTCTTTCCTTGCCGTCTCCCCTCCTCCAATCCCTTCTGAACTTCATTTATGCAGCCCCTGGAAGAGACAGGCATCCAACTTGGTCCTTGAACTCAAGGATTTCATGGACAAGTGACTGAAATTGATCCTACAGGGTGATTATGAAAATAGCTCGGGGCACTGTGGGAGCCCAGGGAAACTTTGTGGGGTCACAGAGATTCCAGCCAGTCCCTTCCCTGGAGGAATCCACAGGCTGGTCTAGGAGTCAGATTGAGGTAGGCACATTTATAGTGCGTGAAGAGTGACTTAGCATCTTAGCAAGGTGAGAACTGGTGTTCCACGCAGGGGGTACAGCTCATGCAAAGACCTGGGAGCCTGGAGGAGTGTGATGTGTTCAGTTGGCAGCGGCTGGGGGTGCTCAGCTAATTGTGCGCATGGGTGGCATTTATTGAGTACTTACTTCAGCCGGGCACTCTGCTCAGTGCTTTATGGGCATCATCTCATTTCATCTTCCCAGCATTCCTGTGGGGGTCAAAGCCTATTGTGGCCATTTTACAGATGAGGAATTTGAGTCGCAGTTGTTAAGAGTCCTGTCCTGTATCCTTCAGCTAGAAGAGCAGGGAAGGGTTTGCAACCCAGCACGGGGCATACTGCCTTCCAGATGCTTCGGAGAGGGGTAGGCAGGCTGACTTACAGAGGCCTGAAGGCCCTGCGAGTGGCTCCAGCTGCTGCTTAAGCCAAGTTGCTCCCACATATTGGGCAGGGCCCTTGAGTCCCTCCACAGAGCCTTGCGGTCTGCAGCCTGAAAGAATGCCCCCCAGCCCCAGCAGCAAAATCGCTATTGGGTTGTAGGCAATGCAGAAGCTTCCTGTCAGGCCAGGGCCTCCCAAAGCAAGGCCACTGTCAGAGAAAAAGGTTTAATGTTAAAAACGATCCTCAGTCCCAAAGAGAGCGATTCAAGGGCGTAAATTGCAGCATTGTCCACAATGGGGCAAATCTGGAAACAGCCCAAGTGGCTGTCAGTAGACGGGTTAAGTGAACTATGGGACCTCCTTACAATGCAATACTATGCAGCTGCTTTAGAGAACGAGGTGGGTCTGTAGTATTTTGTTCTGCAGAAGATACAAGGTGCAGCACTGTGCTATGGTACAACCCAGTTCTGGGGAAAGGATGAATTTCATATTCAGAGAAAACAATCTGGAGTAATTACCATTGTACTGTTAATAGTGGTCATCTTGGGGGGAACGGGGTGGAATTATGAGTCAGGTGCCCCAAGTTATACCTTATCTAAAAGTCAGACTTTTTGCAAAGCTTATACAAATCTAAAAAGCAATAAAAAATATAAATATGTTTGGAATGGAGGTTCCTATTCAAAAAGACTTGGAACCAGTGATGGGGGAGGGGGTTATTACAGGGGTTTTAAGCAGGACAATGAGTTGGTCAGTAGCTTTTACCAGAGCCAATGCAGCGCCCAGCCCTGGTCTAGCAGACAGGTGTTCATTCGTTCAGTGGTGGATGGTTCTGGAGCTCCTGCCAGGTGCCAGACCCTATTCTCGGTGCTGGACATCCAGTGGTGAACACGAAAAACGCCTGCCTTTGTGGAGCTGACATCATGGTGGACCTTGTAGATGTTGGTGATGAGATGATTAGACTGGAGACACCAAAGAGAAGGGCTTATGAAGTGGAGGGGAGTAAACCAGCCCAGACAGGCCATGACAGAGAGGGTGGTGGGTGGATCAGAGGGGAGACAGGCTGGGAGCCTGGCTAGGAGGCTGGGACAGGGGGGCCCCAAGGGAGAGGTCAGGCTGGGCCAGGTGGAGCACTGAGGAGGGGACACATTATGGCAGGAGAGCAAGGGAGGGAGGCTGGACGCCTGTGGCAGACTGAGAGATGGAGACCAGTTTGGGACACAGTGGGAGTGAGGTGTCAAGATGATGCCAGCCTTGGATCAGAGAGGTGGCATCATCAGTGACTGAGCTGAGGCCACCGGCATGGATGAGGCAGCCACCCTAGGGAAGCAGGAAGGCCCAGGACCGAGTCCCAAGATCTGCAATTTGGGAGCCTGGCCAAGAGGAGGAGTCGATAAAGGAGAGGGAGGGACTTCCAGCTGGAGGGCTAAGACCAAAGTGTCTTCGCTGACATTATTGCATTATTATGGAGTGGCTTTGGTGAGGAGGGCTGCAGAGGAGCTGGGGGGACAAGAGGGAGAATGTGGACTTGGCCCAGGAAAGAGCCACAGTCACCACTAGGAAGTGTTGGCTGCTGTCTGAGCACCTGCCCGGGTTAACTCGTTTCATCTCACAATAGTCCGCTGAGGTGGGTGTCCTCTGAGGTCCACCTCCAAGACGAGGAGCTCTAAGACTCAAAAGCAGTCACTCACGTGAGATGATGCTCCTTGGGAGTGGCAGGCCAGGTCCCCAACACAAGACCCCTGTCCCAGAGCCCACACACCGCCCCCAGAGCCGTCCCTCCCTCGCCCCTCACTTCCTTGCGCCCACCTTCCAGCCCAGAGCCTTTCCCCAAACTGGGGTGTCACCCCACCCCCCACTTCCTAATCCCACTTCTTGGGCCTGGCCACCCCACCCCCACCCCTTCCAGGACTCAGATTCAGACACTGAGGAAGGAGCGGCTGGTGGAGAAGCAGAGAGTGAGTATCTCTCTTAGGAGCCTGTTCTGCGGGGCTGAGGTGGGGGTGGTTTAGGGCAGGGGTCTGGGTGATACCCCTCACCTCCATCAGGGGTGACATTCAGGTGTGTGAAAATGGTGCAGTGTCAAGGCCATGGAGCCCCTGGCTGGGTCGGGCATGGTGCCTGGAGTTGTGGGGAGGCAGGGATCCCTGGGCTGGGGCAGGGCCCCTCTGACCCTCTGCACCCGGCCTGAATGTCCACTTGCTGTCTCCCTTGTTTCTGGCCAGTGGACTTCCTGCGGAATTTCTTCTCCCAGACACTGGGCCTGGGCACCCAGAAGGAGCGTCTGCTGGACAACCTAACCCTGGAAGGGGTGGCCCACTACATGCTGAGTGAGCGCTGTAAGTCCTCCCCCACCCGCAGTGGGCCGCATCCCCCTCCTGGCCCCAAGTGACTCCCCAGCCCCAGCCACTCGAACCATTGACACCTTTTGTCTGCAAGTAAAGAGAAACCCATTTCCAACGGGTTTATGCCGAAAACGAGCCTGTTGACCGCTTAACTAGAATCCAGCTTGAAGCAAGGCTGAGTGCGGGGCTTCCATGATGTCAAAACTCTTAACCCTCTCTGGTGCCACTTTCCTCCGTGTTGGGGTCAGGGTGGCTCCCGGCAGCTCCCCGCTCCCACTGAAGAGAGCACCTTTCTCCCAGTGGTTCCAGCAAAACAGCAGAGATTGGCGTCACCTGCAGGTGGGGTCACGTTCTTACCCCAAACCAATCACCGCGTCTGATTGGCCAGACCTGGGTCACATCTCCATTGCTGAACTAATGACTGTGCTCTGATTGACCAGGCCTGTTTGATCGAGCGAAGCTGATAATAATAGTGTTTATCTCTTAGAGTTACTAGAGGTTAACAGATTAATGAAGATGTAAATGTCTGGGGCAGGACGTGGCACAGGGCTGTGTTAGTGTTCCCTGTGATTAATAATCATCACAGGAAGCTTCTTTCGGCGGCGGTGTGTAGATGCTCTTTACTGGGTCACCGTGTAGTTTATATTTCTTGCTGTGAGTCGAGGTCACAGAGTCTGAGAAACCAGGCCCTTGGCAGTCCTCTGTTAGAACAATCGACCCTTTGAGGGTCCTGAACAGGCCTTTGTGGAGGACGTCTTCTCCAGTTCCCCTGTCCTCCAGCTGCTGCCCGCTCCCTCCTCTCCCTCCCTGGGCAGCCAGGCCGCCACCCGAGCCTCCCTGTCCCGGGCAGACCGGGCAGCTGTCTGCAGCCAGCCTCTGGCTCAGGTAGGCCCCAGAGGACACAGGCAGTGGCTACAAAGCTTTTGTTCCTCCGTCCCTCTGCACCTGGATTTTAGGATAATTGGCTCATGAGCGGGCCTGTGAGGGGATAATAAGAAATGATAACAGAGCCCTCGCTGTTTGCCAAGCGCTGGGCCAAGCACCTGACAGGCCTCGTCTCATTTGATCTTCCCATCATTAGACCTGTGAGGTCATTACAGGAATGATCTGGACAGAGGAGGAAACTGAGGCACAGAGAGGATGTGACTTGGTGGAGGGTCACACAGCTAATTAGAGGCTGAGTCAGGACTCAAGCCCAGGCCCCCTGAATCCAGAGTACAGGCTCCCTCCCCCACGGCCCCTCCCTGGGTCCAGCCCAGCCAGGTCTGATGGCGTTCCTGGGACTGAAGCGAGGGCCGAGGCCGTGGCAGGTCCTCCTTTGGACAGGACACCCCAGAGGTGACCGGCTCACAGGGCTTCACTTGTGTGTGTCCATCAGCTGACGGGCAGATGCCAGGGCTGCGTGGCAGGGCCGCCTGCCAGCCAGCAGCCGAAGAGGCTACTGGGCTATTGTGAAATGATTCGACCTCTGCTATGTCTTCCCATCCTCTTTGCTGAAAGCTGGTAAAATGGGGCGGGGGGTGCTTATATGCATACAAATCATGGATCTCAAGAAATTTAGTACAGTTGACTCAAAGAATAATAGCGAATACGTCCACAGTTGAGGCTGTAAACTTATTTCCTCTCCCTTAAGATTTTCTTTTCTCTAGCTTACTTTTCTGGAAGAATGCAGTATATAATACATATAGCGTACAAATATGTATTAATTGACTCTTTATGTTATAGGTAAGGATTCCAGTCAATAGTAGGCTATTAGTAGTTAAGTTTTGGGGGAGTCAGAAGTTATACATGGATTTTGAACTGCCTGGGTGGGGTGGGGTCACCTCTGTTAAACCCCCACGTTGTTCAGGGGTCAGCTGTACAGTGTTTGCTCAGTGCTGGGCACAGTTCTGGGTTTTACAGGAATAAAGTCATTCTCTCAACAGCCGTGAGGCAAGTGCTGTAATTGTGCCTATTTAACAGAGTCGGAACTGAAGTCAGAGGGGGTTCTGAACTGGGGTTCCCCGCTGTGAGCAGGAGGGCCAGGCTCAAAGCCTTCAGTCTGAGAGTGGCAAATCTGGTCTCCACCCGAACACTGCCAGACCGATGTGTGTTTGATTACAGAGGAAAGGGGTGTGTATAATATGCTAGAAATAGATGGTCATTCAGGATTGTGTCCAAAAGCCCTGGCTGGTTTGGCTCAGCGGTTAGAGCATCGGCCCGCAGACCACAGAGTCTCAGGTTCGATTCAGGTCAAGAGCACGTACCTCGGTTGCGGTTTGATCCCCGGCCCTGGTCTGGGTTGTGCGGAAGGCAACCAATCCATGTGTCTCTCTCACATCAATGTTTCTTTCTCTCTCTCTCTCTCTCTCTCCCCCCACCCCCACTCTGTCTGAAAATAAATGAAAAAATATCCTTGGGTAAGGATTTTTAAAAAAAGAAAGATTGTGTCCAAAAGATGAGATGTTGCCAGAGATTTTTACAATAACCTGTAGCTCTTCTGGGGGAATCACTACCATAGCCTCCTCATTAAGATCTAGTTTTGTCTAGATCTAGTTAGAGGCAGAAACTTCTCTCTAAGTGGCCTTTTCTCAACTAATTGGTATAATTTCAAACAGTAGATTCTTTGTCCCCATCCTGGCTCTTCCACCAGTCGACTGTGTGACTGCTTCCCCTCTGTGAGCCTTGGTTTCCTCACCTGTAAAATGGGGATGTTAACACTACCTGCCTCAAGATGGTTGGGAGGGCCAGTCATGCATCTGAAATGTTTGCTGCAGGGCCTGGCCCCAGGTGGAGTGTCAGGGCCTGTGACAGCTGGTGTTACTTTGGGGCTGAGCAAACCATGTCACATGCTGCATAAACTCCTCTCTTCCAGGTCGCAGGGTCATCTGTTTGGTGGGAGCTGGAATTTCCACGTGTAAGTGCCCCCTCCCCCAGTAGCCACCCCCTCGTTTGGGGGAACCCCTTCCAGAGGCTTGGGGGAGCCATGTCTAGGCCCTCACTTGGGAAGGTTACTGTGGTATAGACGGGGCCCAGGTCCCTGATGGACTGCTTCCTGCACCCTCTCCCCCAGCTGCGGGCATCCCCGACTTCCGCTCCCCATCCACGGGCCTCTATGCCAACCTGCAGAAGTATCATCTTCCCTACCCAGAGGCCATCTTTGAGATTGGCTATTTCAAGGTATGTGCAGAGGAATGTCTGCAGTGATGGGGCTGGGGGACAGAACAGCGTCATCTGCTCTCATGTCGCCTGCCCTTCGCTCTCCCACAGAAACATCCGGAGCCCTTCTTTGCCCTGGCCAAGGAGCTCTATCCCGGGCAATTCAAGGTGAGCTCTTTTTTGCCTGGGGGGCACAGGAAAGGTTAGTGGACAGCAGGCACGGGAAGGCCCCTTGGACAAATGTCAGACAGTCATTAAGGACATGGGCTCGGGGCCCAGACTGCCTGTGTCTGACTCCTGATCCCTCACCGCCTTCTCTTTTGATCTGGAGCCTCGGTTTTCCCATTTGTAAAATGAAACTGACGAGATTGTACGGAAGGGGTTGTTAACTTAAATGAGCGAACAATCCGTGTAAAAGCCCGGACTCTGGAGACAGGCTGCTTGTGTAAGAATCCCAACCCTCCAACCTTCAGTTCCCTCATCTGTGAAATGGGCTCATGCTCTCGGCCTCACAAGGGCAATGTGATTATTCCGTGCGGTAGGACAGGCACAGTGCCCGGAACAGTGCCCGGCACAGGGTGGAGCGGGGAGACCTCCCTATCGTCAGCATTGTTGTGATTGCTCCCCTCCAGCCCACCGTGTGTCACTACTTCATCCGCCTGCTGAAGGAGAAGGGGCTGCTGCTGCGCTGCTACACGCAGGTAGGCGGGGCGGGGCGTCCCCGGGGCGGGGCTGCCCGGGGCCTGGCGCCTCCTGCTGGGAGCTCCGGGCACTGCTGCTCCGGCGTGTGACCTGCAGTGAGTCATTTCCCCGCTCAGCCTCAGTTTGCCCTTTTATAAAGCGGAGGCCAGAACAGCTGCGTGCTCTCAGGTCTGTGGTGACGTGGCAGTGAATTCCCCTCTGGGCCATCCTGTGTGTGCTCACCGAGGACCTCGTGTGTGAGGGGAGGGGACCTCGTTTGCACCAGATTTCATATAGATTAGGGTTTTCCAGCAGATGATACCAGAGTGACTGGATCTAACAACATCTGTACACTGACAGTATCTTAATGGGGGGACGTAGTGCCTTAAGAAAGGGGCATCTTGCCCTGGCAGGTTTGGCTCAGCGAATAGAGCATCGGCCTGTGGACCAGAGAGTCCCGGGTTCGGTTCCCGCTAAGGGCAGGTACCTCGGTTGCAGTTTGTTCCCGGCCCGGGTTGGAGTCGTGTGGGTGGCAACCAGTCAATGTGTCTCTCTCACGTTGATGTTTCTCTGTCTCTCTTCCTCCCTCTCTCCCTCCCGCTCTAACTGAAGATAAATGCAAAAAAAAATGTCCGCGGGTGAGGATGAAAAAAAAAGGAAAGGGGGCTAGAGCATCAGCCTGTGGTCCTGAGAGACCCGGGTTTGGTTCCCGCTAAGGGCACGTGCCTCGGTTGCGGTTTGTCCCCGGGCCCTGGTCGGTCGTGTGGGTGGCGGCCACTCGCTGTGTCCCTTTCACATCGATGTTTCTCTCTCTCTCTCTCTACCTGAACAAAAAATGGAGGAATGTCCTCTGGTGAGGATGAAAAAAAAACAAAGGGGCATCTTTTTTTCATTTTCACAAAGGACTCATATGGGCCAGGGGTCCCTGGTTCATCCATGTCCAGTGCTGAGCCAAAGGCCTCAGCCTGAGGTGCTCAGGCAAGGATGGCTCACCTTGTTGGCCCTTGGACTAGTCAGCAAGACTTCTGGGATCTCACACTCCTAACAGTAAAAAACATCTGTGCTTCACCCTGGCCAGTTTGGCTCAGCGGTTGGAGCATCGCCCTGCCGACCAGAGAGTCCTGGGTTCGGTTCCTGCTAGGGGCATGTACCAAAAAAAAAAGTAAAATGTCTGTGCCTCTCCCTTTGTTTTATGTTTATATATTGAAATCACAAGATATTGTGCATGCTATAATTTATACCTCAGAACCCCAAAGTATAAAATAGAGAACACATGAATAGAAATAGGTATCTAACATTTCCTTCCTGCTCCTGGTCTTCTGGAGCCTGCAGCCTCAGAAGCCGCCACCAGGGGGAGGATGAATTCTTTGTAGGTCCAGGTTTCCCAAATGGGGGCAAGTGCTCCTGCCTGGAGCTGGCGGTGTGGGGAAGGGGACGCTCACCTCCTAGGAGGAGCCCAGGCTCAGGATAAGCCTGACCTGTCTTCCCAGAGGGTCAGCCTCATCCACAGGATATGTTCAGACATGATACAAATAGCTCACCTGAAGCCTGTGCCCCGGGGGTGATTTCATGGACTCCTCACCTTGGCCCTGCCGGCATCCCGGCTTGTCAGCTTCTGTCACAAATGTTTACTGAGTGCCAGCCTAGTGCCAGGCCCTGCTGGCAGCAAACAGAGCAGGCATCCCTGCCCTCCTGAGGCGGACACTGAGGTGGGGAGAGACAGTGGATGAGTAAAGTTACCTGGTGTGGCGGACGCTACAGCTCTGTGGGGCAGGGCCGAGCAGAAAGGGGAGTCTGAGCCTCTGTGTGGGGTGGGTGCTGTGAACACAGTGTCAGGAAGGCCTTGCTGACAAAGGCCTGGGGGGGGATTGTGGGATTATCTTAGGGGAGTGCTTCCCAGGCAAGGGAACAGCCAGTGCAGGGCCCTTAGGGACACTGGCGTGTTCAAGAAACTGGATCTGAGTGAGAAAGGACAGTAGTAGGAATGGAGGGAAGAGGTCAAGGCAGTGACAGGGGCAGACCATATGTGGCCTCCGGGGCCATGGGTAGGACTTTGTCCTTTACCCCGAGCAAGATGGTGTCACAGGAGGGCTCTGGACAGGGCAGGGGCGAGGTCAGGTGTCCCTCTGGCTGCCTGTAGGGGCTAGACTGTGGGTGCAGTGGGGAGGGGGAGACAGACCAGGGAGGAGGCTGTGGTGATGGTCTAAGCAGGAGATGAGAGAGGCTGGGCCAGGGGGGAACTATTGAGGTGAAGAAAGGGCAGGTATGAATCCATTTTATTTATTTTTATTTTTATTTTTATTTTTTAATCCTTACCTGAGGACATTTTTCTTTGTTGTTGTTGTTGTTGTTGTTCAGATAGAGTGGGAGGGAGAGAGAGAGAGAGAAACATCGATGTAAAAGGGACACATCGAGTGGTTGCCCCTGCATGACCCAACCAGGGCCGGGGACAAACTGCCATGGAGGTACGTGCCCTTAGCAGGAATCGAACCCGGGTCTCTCTGGACCACAGGCCGACGCTCTAACTGCTGAGCCAAACCGGCCAGGGATATGAATCCATTTTTTTTTTTTTAATCCTCACCTGAGGACATTTTTCTATTTTTTGTTCAGGTAGAGTGGGAGGGGGAGAGAGGAAGAGAGAGAGAAACATCGATGTGAAAGGGACACATTGAGTGGCTGCCACCCGCACGACCAACCAGGGCCGGGGACAAACCGCAACCGAGGTACGTGCCCTTAGCGGGAACCGAACCCTGGTCTCTCGGGACCGCAGGCCGACGCTCTAACCGCTGAGCCAAACTGGCCAGGGCTGAATCCATTTTAAAGATGGAACCAACAGGACTCGCTGATAGATTGGCTATGAAATGATTTCTGACAGAGGTGTCAAGGACGCTGGACAGCTCTCAGCCTGAGCACCTGCAGCTTTGAACCGACAGGGTGGGAGGTTGTGGGGATGGCGGCAGAGGATTTTGCTGTGAGACCTATTGAGGTTGAGATGCCCACGTGGAGATGTGGACAGAGGGTTGGACACAGGACTTGAGCCAGAGGGGCAGCATATAGACAATGTTTAAACTCACCAGACAGGATGAGATCGCAGGGTCCGGCATGGGAAGCCCAGGCCCAGGACATGTGGCCTATCAGGGCTGTTCAGTAGGCTCACTTCCCCCTCTGCAGAGGCAAAACCCCTGCCCTTGACCATGAAAGTACACCAGCTGCCCGCTGTGTTTACGTGAGAGCCAACGCGAATACCTCCCGGGGTCCAAGTGCACTCTGCAGGTTTCCCCTCCAGCTGCAATATTTAATGCACAAAATTTGACTACACATAATATTCAAGACGGCATACTCCCTAAAATAGATAAAAGGAGAAAACAAATCTTTCCACTCTCACATTTCACGAAACCATTTTTTTCAACTTTGACACCCTCTTCCTTGAGCTCGGCCCCTGTTTGAATCACTGACCCAGTTTTCTGGAACACGCCGTCTTCACTTCTTTCTGAATTGTGACGACGCAGCAGCTCTGAAGCCAAATGTCATGCGGTTTTACCTCAAGGCACAAGTACCCTCTCACATGTGAGGACAGGTGTCCTGTTCACTCATGTCACTGGGATCGCCACCGCAAAACGTTCTTTTACGTACATGCCTCCACACTGCACGTAGGATTTGCAATTGGCTTTCTTTTCTTTTTTTTTCTTTCTTTTTTTCGTTACCACCAGTTTATTTGCCTTTGTTTCTCTTTCACTTGTCGTGAGAATCTTGTAACCAGGCAGCTAAAGGAAGTCCTTTGTCACCATAATGCATTGGTCTCCCACCTTAGCTTACCTTTTCATGGTATACAGCCGCACTTCAAAGAAAATTATCATAAGTGTTTATTTCACCAAACTGATGACATGTGTTGGGAGCAAGATCTCAGATGCTGATCCCCTGTCTGGACGACCTTCCATACCCACCCCACACAGCAGCCCCAGGCTGTGTAAACGCCGACGTTGCTAATGTGTCTGGCAGGGATGCGACACAAAGGGAAGCAAGGTTTAAAAATCAGATATGGGGCCCTGGCCAGTTTGGCTCAGTGATTAGAGCATCAGCCTGCGGACCAGAGAGACCCGGGTTCGGTTCCCGCTAAGGGCATATATGTCGGTTGCAGTTTGTCCCCGGCCCTGGTTGGTTGTGCGGGTGGCAGCCACTCGATGTGTCCCTTTCACATCAATGTTTCTCTCTCTCTCTCTCTCTCTCTCTCCAACTCTATCTGAACAAAAAATGGAAAAATGTCCTCGGGTGAGGATAAAAAAAAAATCAGATTTCGGGTGCAAATCCAGACTTCAGTCTCCTCCTGAAAGAGCTGCACCCGGGGTGGCTTTCCCAGGGAGAACGGCTGGCTGGAGCCGAGTGGCCACTGCCCGCTCCAGGACCTGCTCACCCTTGCCCCGGGCCACTACTCTCCGTGACCCGCTTCCACGCGGCAGTTCAGTGCTTGTCCTTTATTTAGTTATTTATTTTGGTTAATCCTCACGTGATGATCTTCTTCCATTGATTTTTAGAGAAGGAAGGAGAGAGAGAAAGAAACATCAATCGGATGTGATTGATCTATCAGTTGCCTCCTGCAGGACCCCAACCAGGGTCTTACCACTGAGCCACACTGGCGAGGGAGCGCTTGTCCCTTAGGACAGAACTTCCATGGGCCACACTGCCTGGCTAGTTCCCTCCCTGCAGGCCACTGTTGTTCGCTCCTCCGTGTGTCCTTTGAAGATACTCTATATATAGGCCAGCAGACACACAAATTCAAATGTTTTTTTCACATCCTGTACACACTGCCTTTGTGCTTTTTTTGCCCTTGAACACCTTGGCGAGCTCATTTCATGTCAGTACCTACAGGTCGGCCTCATTCTTTGTTTTTGTTTGTGGTTTCTTGATTATATGTGGCGTCAAAGAATAACAGGCACCCGGCTGGTGTGGCTCAGTGGTTGAGCATCCACGCATGCACCAAGAGGTCGCCGGTTCGATTCCCAGTCAGGACACTGCCCAGTTTGTGGGCCCGATCCCAGTGGGGGACATGCAGGAGGCGGCCCGTCCATGTTCTCTCTCATCAGTGTTTCCATCTTCTCTCCTTCCTTCCTTGTTCTCTCAAAAATCAATAGAGAAAAAAATTTTAATTTAATTTAATTAAAAAAAAAGATTAACAGGCATGTAGGCAGTTCTTCATGCGACTGAGTTATTTGCACACATGCTGCTTACGCACAAGGGAATCAGTAGTAGGTCGAATCAAGTGACAAAGGCCAAAGTAGGATTTCTAGTGGAGAGGGGGAGGGGAAAGCTGCAGAGAGTCTGGGGACAGCGACGCTTGTCTGCATGTTTTGAGGGTAAGCTGATTGCTGGCAGGGAGCACAGAGCAGATGGCCCTTGAAAGGGAGCCTTTCAGTTGTCCGCGGAATCTCCAGGAAACCTTGTCGGCTCAGCTGTGGGCTGCACGGGACGGGCCATCTCTCAGGCCCACCAGTGTCCTCCGCCAGCATCTGCCTCGCGGGCAAACAAAAGCTGCGCCCAAGGGGCTGCGTGTTTAGAGGAAAATGAGAGGGCACAGCTGTGTATGTGGAAGAGAATGTTCTTGTTTGGTCCACAAGGAAAGTGTCTCTGTCTTAAAAGAACACAGGTTAGGATGCTCTCAATGACACAGACGTAGTCAGAAACCTGACTGCGAAACAGGATGACAGTCCCTCCTGAGTCCTGGTGCTCACTGCTCGCCCAGGGCTGCCCACAGCTGTGCACGCCGGGCGGGGGACATTTGTACATGACCTCAACGGGTTTCTAGGAGGTGGTACTCGTGTGTGTGGTTCTGACAAAGGATTGGAGAAGTGGCTGGAAACACAGTGGCCTGAATGTGCAGAGAAACGCCGTAAGGGCTGGTGGTGGCCGTGGGCCTGGGCTCACACACGGCTGAGTCGGGATCCGTGCCTGTAAGCATCTGTGACTTTTTTTTTTTAACCTCACCCGAGGACATTTTTCCATTTTTTGTTCAGATAGAGTGGGAGGGAGGGAGAGAGAAAGAGAGAGAAACATCGATGTGAAAGGGACACATCGAGTGGCTGCCACCAGCACGACCCAAGCAGAGCCGGGGACAAACTGCAACCGAGGTGCCTGCCCTTATCGGGAACCGAACCCGGTCTCTCTGGACCACAGGCCGACGCTCTAACCGCTGAGCCAAACCAGCCAGGGCAGCATCTGTGACTTTTACCCTTTCAGTGGCACCATCAGAATAAGCACATTTTTGGACACACCCCGCCCTTTGCTTTTTCCTTCTCTCTCTCCCTGGCCCACTGGTTCCTCTCGGCTCCAGCGCCCTGCTCTGCCTTCTGCCCCTGAAGAGTGCGGGTCACTCCTGACCCTCTGCCCTCCATCTCTCCCTCCAGAACATCGACACCCTGGAGCGAGTGGCAGGGCTGGAGCCCGAGGACCTGGTGGAGGCCCACGGCACCTTCCACACGTCGCACTGCGTCAGCCCCCTCTGCCGGCAGGAGTACCCGCTCAGCTGGATGAAAGGTGAGGGGCTGGAGGTCATCCAGCCCAGGGACTGGGCCTCCCCGCAGCGGGCACGGTTCTGCCCCGCCCAACTCTGTGGCTCTTCATAGTAGAGAATGGCACCCTCCAAAGAGTTCAGGTGACAGTGAGGTTCATCGCTCCCAACGCCACCTCACAGCCAGGTTATGGTGGGTGCAAGCTCCAGACCCAGCTCAGCCGCACGCAGGGACATTGTAGCAGAGAGGCCCCCACACGCTCACACGGCCTGCGGTGAGGTCGTGAAACCCCCGCTCCTGCCCTTGGAGGGGCTCTGACCTGTCGGACATGAGGTTCTCGTCAAGGCAAGTGGGACTCAGTTCTACGAAGAGCACAACTGTCCGACGGAACTTTCAGAGATGAGGGACCTTTCCACACCTGCGCTGTCCGCTCTGGCAGCCGCTCCGTTCCCGGGACTGCGGGGCACGCGGCACGTGGCTAGTGCGCCCGAGGAGCGCAATGTTCAGCTTGACTCGTCTGAATGTAAGACGCCGTAGCCTCGTGACAACCATTCTGCTAGGCGGAGCAGAATCTGTGGAGTGTGAGGCCGGACACAGCCTGGTCAGGGTAGAAGGCGGGGTGCACCGTCCCTCGGGTGCAGGCGCCAGGGCTTGCTGACGTCATAGTCCCTGGTCACAAAAGGGCAGAGTGTCCAAGAGGAAAATAACACAGCCAGTCCACATTTCTTGAATGCCAGCAAGAACCTACTTCTGACATCCACTGTGCTGACTGAGAAGTCACTTATGCCCTGGCTGGTTTGACTCAGCAGTTAGAGCATCGGCCAATGGACCAAAGGGTCACGGGTTTGATTCCCAGTAAAGGGCATGTAACTCGGTTGCAGGTTTGATCTCCAGCCCCTGTTGGGGTTGTGCAGGGGGCAACCAATCAATGTGTCTCTCTCACATCAATGTTTCTCTCTCTCTCTCTCTTTTTCTCCCTCCCTCACTCCCTCCTTTCTTCCCTCCCTTCCACTCTATCTAAAAATCAATGGAAAAATATCCTTGGGTGAGGATTAATAACAACAACAAAAACAAGAAGTCACTTATTTCACCCATGAAATACATCTCTGGCATTCTTTTTTTTTTTTTTAAAGACATTTTATTTATTTTTATTATTGTTATTTTTTTAATCCTCACCCGAGGACATTTTTCCATTTTTTTGTTCAGATAGAGTAGGAGGGAGAAGAAGGAAGAGAGAGAGAGAGAGAAACATCACGTGAAAGGGACACATCGAGTGGCTTGCCACCCGCACAACCCAACCAGGGCCGGGGACAAACTGCAATTGAGGTACATGCCCTTAGCGGGAACTGAACCCAGGTCTCTCTGGACCGCAGGCCGATGCTCTAACCGCTGAGCCAAACAAGCCAGGGCTTTTTTTTTTTTTTTTTAATCCTCTGGAGAATATTTTTCCATTTATCTTCAGATAGAGTGGGAGGGAAGGAGGGAGAGACAGAGAGAAAAACGTCAATGTGAGAGAGAGACATCGACTGGCTGCCTCCTGCACAACCCCAACCAGGGCCTGGGACAAATGGCAACTGAGGTACGTGCCCTTGACCAGAATCGAGCCCATAACTCTTTGGCCCGAGGGCCAACACTAACCACTGAGCCAAACCGGCCAGGGCATCTCTGGCATTCTTTATGCTGACTTCACAAAGCCTCTGGTGTCCATGGGAGATAAGGACATCACTTATCTACATGTAGTAGGGCCTCTGGAATGTGGCCTTTCTGATAAAGCACCAGCTGACCGCCCCTGGGGTGAGGAGGCCTGAAGAGCCCAGCCACGAGCAGCTGGGGGTGACATACAATTAACATTACCCTGTTATGTCCACTGACAGCGATATCACATGCAGCACCCACAAAATAGCACACTGTCAGTGCAGAAATGTTTTCAAGTAAATGACAGACATTAAAACAGGGCTCTAAACATTTGTCAAAGAAATGAATGAACAGTTGAATGAATGAGCTAGGATTCTAAGGGTTGCAAGTGACAGAATGCTTTTCAAGTTTCCTTAATCAATAAGCAATAAGGAGCAGGACAGTCACAAGGATGGTGTGTGTGTGTCGGGGGTCAGTCACAGAACCCAGGGGTGGGAAGCAGCTGTGCCTAAAGATTTCTCCCCACCCCAGGATCACCTGTATATGCTTCCCTCGTCTACCACCACCTGGGGCCCCAGGCCTCTCTGACCCAGAAGGAAACAGGGCTGCCCTCAAAGACCCAACTCCAGTCCAGCTGGTGTGGCTCAGTGGTTGAGCGCCGACCCATGCACCAAGAGGTCGCCGGTTCAATTCCTGGTCAGGGCACATGCCCAGGTTGTGGGCCCGATCCCCAGTGGGGGGCTTGCAGGAGGCGGCCAGTCAGTGTTCCCTCTCATCGATGTTTTTCTTTCTCTCTCTCCCTCTCCCTCCTTCTCTCTCTAAAAATCAATTAAAAAACAAAACAAAACCCAACTCCATATTCCCCAGGTCAGGAGCTGGGGAGTCCAGTGGCCCCTGTTAGGAGCAAGTGTCTTGCTCCTTTGCTGATTTCTTTCATTCGGTAGCTAAGCCTGGTGCTGGGAGCCACCCTGGGACCCTGGGGCAGGGAGAGGGGAGGGCCAGTTCTCTGAGAAGGGGGGTCCCTTCTGAGCAGGGCAGCTACCCCAGGAGGCTCCCAGTGACTGAGGCGTGTCTGTGTGGACAGTGAAGGGGGGTCAGGGGGGCAGCAGCAGGCTACAGCCCCCCCAGAGCTCTCACCTCCCTCTCCCCTCCCCCTTCTCCACGCCAGAGAAGATCTTCTCCGAGGTGACTCCCAAGTGCGAGAAGTGTCAGAGTGTGGTGAAGCCTGGTGAGCCTTGGGGCCCGGGACCAACTGAGGGCGATTTGGACTGGAACCCCCCCCACTAGCCCCTTCCCAAGAAGGCCGCAGCCGCCATCCACCCACCTCTGGTCACTCCTCTCCGGGGAGAGGTTCTTACCCTGCCTGTCACTGCTGCTCCACACTGCCCCCGCCCGAAGGTCTGCCTTCTGCTCCTGCCTGCCTGCCTCCCCGTTCACTGTCTTTCTCTGTCTGTCCTGTGCTGTCTGTCCATCCATCTGTGTCCACTCAGACATCGTATTCTTCGGCGAGAACCTGCCACCGCGTTTCTTCTCCTGCATTCAGTCAGTAAGTGTCAGCCCACGTGGGGACGGCCTGGCCCCCCTGAGGAGGGTCACTGCCCCGCCGGCTGTCTGTGGACCTGGGTGGGGGCGGGGGCGGGGCCCAGCCTCTGCTGAGGGTCCGGAGCCCTCACGGCCCTCGGTCCTCCCAGGACTTCCGGAAGGTGGACCTGCTCGTCATCATGGGCACCTCCCTGCAAGTACAGCCCTTCGCGTCCCTCATCAGCAAGTAGGTGGGGGTCCGAGCTGGGGGTGCTGGGGGCCAGGGGGGCCAGGACAGGTCCTCACCACTCAGCTCACCATCCCCCCAGGGCACCCCTCTCCACCCCACGCCTGCTCATCAACAAGGAGAAAACTGGCCAGGTGAGTCGGCTTTCCTTCACACCTTCCCGTTCTTCCCTCCCTGCTCGCTCCGCGCATGCGCATGGGTCCCCGTTCCCTCCCACTGGCTCCCTCTGGACAACGGGGCAGTCTCTAGGGAGCCCAATAGTTCAGACCCCTCAGCTCAGGACCAGGGATTCCAGACCCCAGAGCCATCAAGTTCTAGGCTGCCCTGACCCTAAAATTTCACAGGCCTCTGGGTCATTCAGGACCCTTTTGAGCAAGTGACATAACCCCAGCTCAAAGCGATGGCAGCCAAAACAGGGCTGTTGCAGCTGCTGGGACGGAACAGCCAGGGTCTCGGTGGCGTCAGTCACCAGCTCTGGGCTCCCCTGGAGAGCGATGTCCCTCCAACAGGCAAACATGCCACGTGTAGACGCTGTTGTGAGCATTTCCTTGTGTCAGCCACTGTACAACCCGGGAGTGGTTTGGTGAGCATCCCACTCTACAGATAAAGACTGAGATTCAGAGAGGCCAGGCACTTGAGCAAAGTCACGGAGCTAGGATACAAACCCAGTGCTCTTAGCTCCCCCCTCGTCCCCACTTCCCTGCAGACTGACCCCTTCCTGGGCATGATGATGGGCCTCGGAGGAGGCATGGACTTCGACTCCAAGAAGGCCTATAGGTGAGGCCTGGGGCTGCTGTGGGGGCGGAGCCTGTGAGGGACAGGTCCACCGTGGGAGGGAGGGCAGGAAGGCCCAGGAACGGGCAGAGCTGGGGAGAGCTGACCCTCCCTCCACTGCAGGGATGTGGCCTGGCTGGGTGACTGTGACCAGGGCTGCCTGGCCCTTGCTGACCTCCTCGGATGGAAGGTAAGGAGCCAGGGCCACCCCAGCCCACCCTGAGCCTAGTCCCTGGACCCCTGCCCCATGGGTCCTCTGACCCCAGGAGGCATGGTGACCTCTGACCTCTGGAACACTGTCCCCTGCAGAAGGAGCTGGAGGACCTTGTCCGGAAGGAGCATGCCAGCATTGATGCGCAGTCGGGGTCCAGGAGCCCCAACCCCACCACTGCAGCTGCCCCCAGGAAGTCCCCACCTCCCCCCAAGGAGGAGGTCAGGACCGCGGAGGGGGAGAAACCTCAGAAACTCTGAGTCTCCCGGGCAGGACACTCAGCTCCTTTGGAACAGCTGAGCCCCAACTAGCCCTGACCCCCCCTAACTTGCAGCTCTTGTCTGGGGAGCTCAGAGCATTCCCTCAATCCCATAACCACTCACTCCTAAACCTGGAGTCCCAGCCCCCCTGACCCTGGCAAATCTCTAACATCCCTGGGCTGAGGTGTGGGCAGCCTGTCTAACAGCCAAGCCTCTAACCACCCCCGGGGGCCAGGGCCAACCTCCCCTAATCTCTAATTGCTCCCCGAGGAGCAGGGGGCTTCTCCAAATCTCTAACTGTCCTAGGACACGGTCCCAGGGCCTCCATCCTCTCAACTGATCCCAGGGGCCTGTGGCCAGGTAGACCAGATTTAACCTACCCTGGGTGGGGGAGGGGCCCGCCAAACATAACTCATCAAATGGGGGGCCTTCCACCTCTCTGCCTCCAACTCCCAAAGTGGGTGCTGGGCCGCCTTCACTCAGGACCCAATTTCCATACGGATGATGTTGCTTATTGGAGACAAATTAAAAACAAAAAACTAACCATCAGCTGTCTGGCCTCGCTGTTCCTTTCTGTGGGCTCACAGGGAAGCAGCTGGAGGGAGGGGGTGACATCTCCGGCCACTTAAAGGAAACCTGGACATCCACAGGCTCCCGTGAGAAACAGCAGGGGTCTCCAGGGTGGGTGGGAGCCTCACCAGGCTGCCAGGGCCCCTTCCAACAAAGCCCTGGCACCTGAGGCCTGAGCCCCCAGGAAGAGGGAGGAAGGTCGATTTGATACCCCAGCCCCGCCTCTTCCCCCGCCAGCTCAGCTTCCTCTTTGTGAGGAACACTTTCGCTTCCTGCTCCTCCAGGCCTCTCCTCTGAGAACAGGTAAGGCCCCTAGGGACCCAGCGGCTGGCACTGTTACCCCCACTGCCTCCTCTGCTGTTAGCTCCCCATCCTGCCCTGCCCAGCACCACCCACCTCCTCCCCTCAGGGGGCCTCCTGCCAGCTCCTCCCAGGACAGGGCACCTGCTCTGGTCCCCACTTCCTAACACCCTGGGATTCTGATCGGTGGGCTGGTTGATTTGTTTGGCTATTTATTATCCCTCTTCTCTCCCACCCCAACAAGAATGGATGCCCCCGAGAGCAGGGCCTATTCTGTTCCCTGGGTACCAGCACCTGATTCTGGGCCTGTACTTGGTATCTGTGGGATGCCTGGATGCTGGACCCAGGTTTCCTACTTCTGAGTGCTACCGGGGAAGTACTCAAAAATGCCCACCTCAGCTGGTCACCCACGATAGGGCTTTGTACCTGGTTAAGAGGTGGGGTCTGGACTGACAAACCTCAGAGGAGAGGGACACAGAGGAGGAGGGGTGGTTAGAGAAACCAAGGAACTTAACAATGCATGTATGCGTAACCAATGGATATAGACAACAATGCTTGGTAGGGGGCGGGATAGGGAGAAGGGTGTTTGTGGGAGACAAGGGAGGAGGGTTGGGGGGGGGACATCTGTAACAAAAATAAATGAATTAAAAAAATAAGTAAATAGTCCTGGCCGGTTTGGCTCAGCGGTTAGAGCGTCGGCTTGCAGTCCAGACAGACCCAGGTTCGATTCCCACTAAGGGCATGTACCGCGGTTGCAGTTTGTCCCTGGCCCAGATTGGGTTGCGCGGGTGGCAGCCACTCGATGTGTCCCATTCACGTCGATGTTTCTCTCTCTCTCCCCCTCCCACTCTATCTGAACAAAATATGGAAAAATGTCCTTCGGTGAGGATTAAAAAAAAATAAGTAAATAGCCCAGCCCAGCCAGTGTGGCTCAGTGGTTGAGCATCAACCCATGCACCAAGAGGTTACCGGTTTGATTCCTGGTCAGGACACATGCCCAAGTTGTGGGCTCAATTCCCAATGGAGGGCATGCAGGAGGCGGCCAGTCGATGTTCTCTCATCGATGTTTCTATCTCTCTCTCCCTCTCCTACTCTCTCTAAAAATCAATTAAAAAAATTTTTTTAAGTAAATAAGTGAATTAGTACATGAAAATATAGGATGTTCAGTTTATTGGGGGGGGGAGCACTGACTGGGTAATAAAAGTCTGAAAAATAAAAAACAAGAGGTGGGGTCTGCCTTGGCTGGTTGCTCAGTGGTTAGAGCTTCAGCTCATGGACCGAAGGGTCTCGGGTTGGATTCCAGTCAAGGGCATGGACCTGGGTTGCAGGTTCGATCCCCAGGCCCTGTTGGGGTCATGCAGGAACTACCCAATCGATGTGTCTCTCTCACATCAATGTTTTTCTCTCTCCTCTTCCTTCCCTTCCACTCTATCTAAAAATCAATGGAAAAATATGCTCGGGTGAGGATTAACAACAACAAAAAGTTGGGGTCTGATAGACAGATGGCTAGAGGGACAGCTGTGTGAGAAAGTAAAGAGTAAAATAATAGTAGAGCCTGGCCGGTGTGGCTCAGTGGTTGAGCCGACCCGTGCACCAACAGGTCACTGGTTCAATTCCTGGTCAGGGCACATGCCCAGGTTGTAGGCCTGATCCCCAGTGGGGGGCAGGCAGGAGGCAGCCAATCGATGTTCTCTCTCATCAATGTTTTTCTCTCTCTCTCCTTCTCCCTTCCTCTCTCTCTAAAAAAATCAATAAAGGAAAATAATAATAATAATAGTAGTAGTAGTAGAATCTAGGTAGTGGCTATATGGATGTTCCCTGTAACCTTCTTTCAAATTTTCTGAATGTTTGAAGTTTTTCATAAAGAAATGTAGGGGGCCCTGGCCAGTTTGGCTCAGTGGTAGAGCGTCGACCTGCGGACCAGAGAGTCCCGGGTTCGGTTCCCGCTAGGGGCATGTACCACCAAAAAAGAAAAGAAAGAAATGTAGGGGGACAATTTGAGGCCCCTCCGTGGTCTGAAAAGCGAAGAGGAGGGGAAGTTGTATAACATTTGTCTCATTTATGGAGTCGGTGGGCGGAGCCCTTCTCTAGGCACTGGGTTTTGGCTAGGCTTGTTGGTCAGCTGGTCCACATGCTCACAGCTGTACCAGATGTTAAAACCTGAAATATTTGGTGAATGCCTGTCATTTTGAATCCTCTGCCTCTCCCCCAAGACACACTGACCTTCCTCCTGGGATCCCCAGAGGGCTCCCCTGTCCAGTGATAAAATAATTCACCCCTTACCCTGGCCGGTTTGGCTAAGTGGTCAGAGCATCAGCCCGTGGACCAATGAGCTGCGGGTTTGATTCCAGTCAAAGGCACATACCTCAGTTGCAGTTCGTCCCCGGCCCTGGTTGCATCCTGCAAGAAGCAACCAGTCGATGTGTCCCTCTCACATCGATGTTTTTCTCTCTCTCCCTCTCTCCTCCTCCTACTCTATCTGAAGATAAATAGAAAAATATCCTCAGGTGAGGATTAAAGAAAAAAAAAAAAGACCTCACCCCTGACACAGCAAGGAGCCTTGGGTCCATTCTGATTTTTCAGGGTCTCTGCCACACTGGTTGTAAATATTTTGAACATTACCCCTGAACCAGAGCAGCCTCGAGCCTTACCTTCCTCCCGGCCAGAGGCCAGACCATGGCTTGCTGGCCGCCTGCATCCTGAGGATGGCCCAGCCAGAGGGCCAGGCCTTGGCAGGCCCCTCCGACAGGCAGAGGTGAGTATTGCTGGGCTAGGGTCTCCATCTCCTGCCCCTGGATTCAGAAACCCCTTCCATCCAATGCTGCCCCCCACAGGATCCTGAACCCCATCTCTGACCCTTCACCCCTGGGCTTTCCCTTGCTGTTCTTTTGACCCCACCTGAGTTTCCAACTGCCCACCTCTGACCCCTGGTCTCCTGGACCCTGCATGTCCCAGACTGTTCCCATCACAGGAGAATGGAGCAGGCGAGACCTGCTTTGGGGTCCTTGGGGGCCCTGAGCCACTTCTTCGACTGCAGAGGACGTGGGGGGTGTGGCAGATCCCAGAGCTGGGCGTCCAGGGTGCAGAAGCCCTTCTGAAGTCGTGGCCACCGGGGGTGAGTACTCACAGCTGGAGACCCTGTCTGACCCTCCCATGACGCCTTGGATCAGTTAGGACTCTGCTGGTTGCTAGTGACAGACACAACACAAACAGGTCAAACCAAAGAGGCCCCTGATTCATTCAAATGACTGAAAAACCCGGAAGCGGTTTCAGGAATGCCTGGGTCGGACTGAGCATCAGACAGTTTAGGCATTTCTTCATCCAATTTTTTGCCTTTGCTTTACACTGTGGAGAATTCTGAATGCTTGGGGGCTGGAAGGAACAAACACTCATTCTATAGGAGTTTAAACAAATAGGCATTTATCTATTTTTTTGTTAATCCTCACCCAAGGATATTTTCCATGGATTTTTAGAGACAGTGGAAGGGAAGGAAGGAGGGGGGAAAGGAGAGGGAGAGAGAGATAGAAACATCAATGAGAGAGAACATCGATTGGCCACCTCCTGCATGCTCCCACTGGGGATCGGGCCCACAACCTGAGCATGTGCCCTGACCAGGAATCTAACTGCCGACCCCTTGGTGCATGGTCGATGCTCAGCCACTGAGCCACACCAGTTGGGCCCAATAGCAATATATTTTAAAGCTCACCTAGGAGTTTTACAGCCAGAGATGGGAAGCACTGACTACTATTCATCTTCTGTAGTTGTGCATATTAATGCCCTGAACAAAGCTAGGGTTCTGCAAGGAATAGAGGGTAGATTTGGATAGGGTAACTAACGGGTCTACCATAGCTTCCTTCTTGAGGGAGTTCTCTTCATGTGTTGGCAAAGATGGCTGTCCTCAGCTCAGCACCACATCTCACCAGGTTAGCAACCCGTGTCAAAAGAGGCCTCTTGCCCTGGCTGGTTTGGCTCAGCGGTTGGAGCATCGACCTGTGTACCAAAGAGTTGCAGGTTCGATTCCGGTCAAGGGCACGTGCCTTGGTTGTGGTTCAGTCCCCGGCCCTGGTCAGGGTCATGCAGGAGTCAGCCAGTCAATGTGTCCCTCTCACATTGATGTTTCTCTCTTTCTCTCTCTTCCCCTCCCGAGCAACTCTATCTGAAAATCAATGGAAAAATACCCTCCGGTGAGAGTTTTTTTTTTTTTAAAAAAAGAGGCTTCTTGCCCTGGCCATTGTGGCTCAGTTGGTTGGGTGCTGTCCCATGTACCAAAAGGTTGCCAGTTTAACTCCAGGTCAGGGCACATGCCCAAGTTGCAGACTCAATCCCCATGGGGGTGTGCAGGAGGCAGCAATCAATGTTATGTTCCCATATCAGTCTTTCTGTTTCCATCTCCCTCTCTCTCTAAAAATCAATGAACTATAGGGAAAAAAGAGAGAGAGGCCTCTTCCCAAAATGCTCCAGCAAAATTCCTGTGAAAGATTCCCATTGGCTAAGTTTGGGTCACATGCCTATCTCTGAACCAATTACAGTGGTCAAAGAACACTGTTATCCTATTGGCTAGGTCAGGTCATGGACCCACTCTGAGGACTTGTGGGGAGTCAGTTCCACCAACATGGACTGAGGAATGGGGTTCTCTAAAGGAAATTTGGGTCATGGAGCCCCAAATAAGGGAAATGGATGCTAGGCAGGCAAAAGTAACACATCTACACAAATGCTCTTCATGCTGAACTTTGTCTCCACCTCCAGAGTTTCCTGGTCACAGGACATGACCCCAGCCAGGTCCTGGTGTTGAGGACAGGACCTTCACCAGGGGAAGTCAACACCTACCAGATCCAGAAGCTTCCTGGAGGTAAGGTGCCTGCCCCTGAGCTTCCGGTCAACAGCAAATTTATAATAAAAAACAGTCAACTTGTCCTGGCCAGTTTGGCTCAGCGGTTAGAGCGTCGGCCTGTGGTCCAGAGAGACCTGGTTCCCGCTAAGGGCATGTACCTCGGTTTCAGTTTGTCCCCAGCCCTGGTTGGTTGTGCGGGTGGCAGCTACTCGATGTATCCCTTTCACGTCGATGTTTCTCTCTCTCTCTCTCTCTCTCTCTCTCTCTCTCTCTCTCTCTCTCTCTGTTCCTCTCTCTCCCTCCCACTCTATCTGAACAAAAAATGGAAAAATGTCCTCGGGTAAGGATTAAAAAAAAACAAAAAACGGTCAACTTGACTTCCCAAATTCTCCCAAATCTTCCCAGTCCTCTCTGCCTCCATCACCCTAGTCTGAGCCACCATCACCTCTTTCCCAGACAGTCTCAGTCGCCTCCTCTCTGGTGTCCCTGCACCCACCTTTTCCTCCCTGCAGTCCATTCTGAGTGCAGCAGCCAGAGTGGCATTTCAGTCCATCAGATGTTATACATTTCTGCGTTAAACTCTGAGAAGGATATGCAACATCCGTAGATAAAAATGTATACTTCTCGCCCTGGCCGGTTTGGCTCAGCGGTTAGAGCGTCGGCCTGCGGTCCTGAGAGACCCGGGTTCGGTTCCCGCTAAGGGCGCGTACCTCGGTTGCAGTTTGTCCCCAGCCCTGGTGGGTTGTGCGGGTGGCAGCCACTCGATGTGTTCCTTTCACATCAATGTTTCTCTCTCTCTCTCTCTCTCTCTTTGTTCCTCTCTCTCCCTCCCACTCTACCTGAACAAAGAATGGGAAAATGTCCTCGGGTGAGGATTAAAAAAAAAAAAAAAAGTATACTTCTCACCCTGGCTTATGAGGTGTTTCCGGATCCATCCTGCCCCCCTCTCCATCTGCCATCCCTCATTCACTCTGCTCCAGCCACACTGTTCTCTTCTCTGTTCCTTAAGCACTCTAGATGAGTCCCGACCTCAGGGCCTTTGCATTTGTTCTCCGCGAATTAATGCTCCTCCTTGAATGATTGGTTTAGTCTCCATCCTTCAACCCTCTGTGGACCTGCAACCTTCCTTGACCACCACAGTTAAGATACTCCTAGTCTTTTTCAATCACTCCATTTTGTTCATGGCACTCAATACAATATACTTATCTTTATTTTTCTACTCATTTATTTTCTGTCTCCCTCTACTAAAAGGTATGCTACAGGAAGGCAGTGATTATGTCTGTCTTTAGACAACTATATCCCCAGTATCTGGGAATGAAAAGGTGTTGAATAAATACTTGTCCATCTAATGAATGGATATTTGGTGGCATAAGTGGGATGTAAGTATAATGACACAGGAAAAGACAGGGACTCTGAGGACTAGAAATGTCCCTGTTCGGGCCCTGGCCAGTTTGGCTCAGCGGTTAGAGCGTTGGCCTGCGGTCCGGAGAGACCCGGGTTCGGTTCCCGCTAAGGGCATGTACCTTGGTTGCAGTTTGTCCCCGGCCCTGGTTGGTCGTCCCTGGTTGGTCGTGTGGGTGGCAGCCACTCGATGTGTCCCTTTCACGTCGATGTTTCTCTCTCTCTCTCCCTTCCTCTCTCTCCCTCCCACTCTATCTGTACAAAAAATGGAAAAATATCCTCAGATGAGGATAAAAAAATAAAAAATAAAAAAACATTAAAAAAAAAAAAAAAAAAAAGAAACGTCCCTGTTCGGGAGGTTCTTAGGGGGATTCAGGACTTGGGAAGAGAGTCCCTGGGAAGAGGAGACTGCCACCACTCACATTTTCTAACTTGTCCCTCCTTACCCCCTCCCCCAGGCGTGTCTCTGGAATCTTCTAATCTCTGCATGCCAGACCTGCCCCAGCTCCTGGCCTTCCTATCAGCAAGCAGGTACAGGTTACCCATCAAAAGGGCTAAGGGGGATCCTCCCCTAAGACACCTTACCCACACTGTAGCTCCCGCTTATCTTTTCTCAGGGATGTTTTACCCAGAATGCTGCTCTTGCCCCCTCCCACTCCAGGGCCCAGGGAACAACACACAGGTGAGGCATGGTTCTCTAAGGGAGGGAGAGGCCAACTTTCTGTCTACTTGGTCCAAGAGGATGGCCCTTAGCGGACCAGCTACTAGGTTTGAGGGAGGGGAGGGCAGGGGGTCTGAGAGAGCTGGGGAGTGGGGTGACTCCTGGGCCTGAGCAAGGGTGGGCCAGGGGCCAAGCCACAGCTCCTCCAGTAATGAGGCTGGGAACTAAGTCTCCTGGTGCTCTGAAGGAACCAGGGCTGGACACGTGGGACACCTCACTTCTGCTGGTCCCCAGTTCCTCTGCAGATTGGCAGTGTCCAACTCAACACCTCAGGGAGCGTGCTGTCTGTGGTGAACAAGCTCTACCTGGAGACCCACGGAGGGCAGGGGGTAAAACAGGCTACCCCAGAGACACCTCCAGAGACTGCCAAGAAAAATGATCCAGGTTAGCGGGGCAGGGCTCTGGGTCCCTGAGATGAGGGAGCTGCTGCTGCTGCTGCTGCTGCTGCTGCTGCTGCTGTTTTGTGGGACCAACTGTCTCTTCACATCCAGCCCCCAGGAACCCCCGCCCTCATCGGGTCTCTTGGGTGGAAGGCCCACTCAGTCCAGAAATAAACCATCCTGGGCCAGCTCTGGCCAGCCTAGGGGAGGAGGAGAAGGACGACGACAAAGATGAAGAAGAAGGACCTGAGGATGTGCTTACTAGTCACATCCGGGTTCTAGCCAGGGCCCGGAGCAGCTACGTGGCCAGGCAGCTGCGAGGCTTTCAGGCACGCCTCATCTCAAATGCTGGGGGCCCCCACAGGCCTGGGGACCCCGCCATCGAGCTGCTTCAGGATGTGCGGCATCTCCTTACTGACCTCCAGGACCACTTAGCAAAGGACCCCCATGTCAGGACTGTCTTTGGGAGCAGAGGGCCTGGGGTCCCCCAGAAGGACAAGGATCTTGGTAATGGGAGGACTGGGAGGGACCTTATCGCCACTCCCTGAACCCACATCGTTCCCATTTGCCATCACTTGGCCCCTACACACGTATTCACACCCAAGTTCTTCCTCTCTATCCCTGTGCACACCTGCTTCCTTTTCCACTCCCACGCCCTTTCCTACAGAGTACCACCTGTTCTGTTCACTGCCACTCCCTCTCTCACAGGTGTGACAGCCACGATTCCCTTTCCCACGCGCGTACTCACACCCAGGCGCCCTTTTCCACACGTGTTCATACCCATGCCTACACTTGTGGGTGGCCAGAAGTGAGGGAGGGGCGGTAGGCCAGGGTGGGTCGGGGAGCCAGGGTGTGGGCAGGGGTCAGCCGGGGACTCTTCCCTCACCCATCCGCCCCTCGCAGGCCCCGCGGTGGAGGCGGCCTTGTGCCGGGCGGTGCTGGCGCCGCTGAAGTCGGCCCTGTGGACACAACTCCGCACGCTCCGCGCCCCGGAGCTGCGGCGGCTGCGGAGGCGACAGATAGCCCTGCGGCTGGGGGCGGGGCCTCCTGGAGCCCAGGGGGAGGGGCCTGAGGGACAGGGCCCCGCCCCCACCCTGCGGAGCCGCATCCACTCGCGCCTGGGGCACCTCCACGCAGCCTGCGCCCCACGCCGCAAGGTGGCGTTGCTGCTGGCGGTGTGCAGCGACATCTACGAGGGCCTGGCTTCGGGCGAGAACAAAGGTAAAGGAGGCGTCTGCGTGTCCCTGGATGTGAGCGGTCTTGAGGGTGGCGGGAGCCGGTAGGAGGCGCCTGCGCGCAGGTCGAGGGGCGCGGGGCGCCTGCTCTATGGGAGGTGCCTGCGCAGGCCTGGAGGCCAGGTAAGAAGCACCCCACGCGGGCTGAGGGGCAGCAGCGCTCTCGGCCCGGGCCCGGATGGAAGGGGCCTGCGCGCCCTCATCCATCTCAGAGCCTGCCCTTGGCTTCCCCAGAGCCCCAGGGCGCCGACGCCTTCCTCCCGGCGCTGACCGAGGAGCTCATCTGGAGTCCGGACATTGGGGAGACACAGCTGGATGTGGAGTTTCTTATGGAGCTCTTGGATCCTGAAGAGCTACTGGGAGAAGGTGAGCCCCCAAAAGCCTCGCCCGGCAGCAGGAGGAAAGGCGGGCGAACCGCAGGGGCCTTCGGGCAGCCAGGGAAGCCGGGGAGCTGTGCCAACCTCTCCTTCTTGCCTCTAGTTGGGTACTACCTGACCACGTGGTTCGGGGCGCTGCACCACATTGCTCACTACCAGCCCGAGGGGGGACGCTCGCCCCAGGGGCTCAGTTCCGAGGCCAGTGCCTCCCTGCGCCAGTGGCACCGCAGGCGAACGCTGCAAAGACAGGGCCACTCCAGAGCCCAGGTGACAGCTGGTGGGACTGCGGGCAGAGGGGAGGGCTGACCCTTTTGCCTTTCTGACCCAGGTTCCTGCCTGTCCCTGCAGGCTGCCCTGCCCTTTGAGGAACCCTGGGGAATAGAGACTGTGCCAAGAGACCAAAGATGAATAGGGGGTCTCAAACCTTTCTGCTCTGCAAGCAAGATGCAGAGGCACCTGTTGTTTAGGGGCAGCAAGGAGGAGGCGGTTCCAGGAAATGGGAACAGCCTACCTCTGGGCCTTTGCATCGGCTGTTCCTACTTCCTGGAATGCCCTTCCCTACACTATTCTTCCCCTCTCTACCTTCAGACTTTGGGGCAGATTTCACAGTCTCACTGAGGCTCTCTCAGACACGAATGTCTAAAACTGCAACTCCTCTCCCTTGACCCTCCCTGCGGAAGGCAGAAAATGCCCCCCCCCCCATCGGTGTCCTCTTCCTAATGCCCAGAATCCGTGACTGTTACCTTACATGGTAAAAGAGACTTTACAGATGTGATTAAGTTAAGGATCTTAAGATAAGGAAGGTACCCTGGATTCTGGTGGGCCCAGGGTAACCACAGGGTCCTTGTAAGAGGGAGGCAGGAGGGTCAGTCAGAGGAAGAGACGTGGTGGTGGAAATAGAGGTCGGAGTGAGGGTCGGCAACCAAAGAATGCAGGCACCCTCTAGAAGCTGAAAGTGACAAGGATTGGATTTCCCCCGGGACCTCCAGCAGAACCTCAGCCTTTGATTTTAAGCCCCTCAGAACTGTTTTGGATTTCTGGCCTTCAGAACTGCAAGATAATAAACTGGTGTGTTTTGGGTAAGCCACTAAGTTTGTGGTAATTTGTTACAGCAGCAACAGGAAATGAATACACCCCCTCCCTTGACCTTTATTTTTCCATAGAAGTTATAAGAATATTACATACCATATAACATACTTCTTTATTATATTAATTATGCGTAGTTGTCCCCCTCCCGTTAGAACAGCACTGTCCAATAGGAATACAATGCAAGCTACACATGTAATTCTAAATATTCTAGTAGCTACATTAAAAAAAAAAAAAAAAAAGAAACAAATGAAATTAATTTTGATAATATTTGATTTAACCCAATATATCCTATCACTTCTCGGCCTTTGGGCTAAGATCAAGTGTAGTAACCCAATATATCCCAAATGTTATCACTTCAACATGTAATCAATATTTTTAAATTATTGAGCTATTTAACATTGTGTGTGTGTGTGAGTGTTTTACATATTCTAAACCCACTGTGTATTGTATACTTAGCACATCTCAATTTGTACTAATCACTTTTCTTTTTGTTGTTGTTAATCCTCATTTGAGGATATTTTTCCATTGACTTTTAGACCGAGTAGAAGGTAGAGAGCAGGAGAGAGAAAAGCATCCATGCAAGAGAGACACATTGATTGGTTGCCTCCTGCATGACCCTGACTGGGGCCAGGGATCGAACCTACAACCCCGGTACATGCCCTTGATCAGGAATTGAACCTACGATGCTTCAGTCTGCGGGCCTAAGCTCTAACCACTGAGCCAAACCGGCAGGGTTAGATTAATCACATTTCAAGTACTCAGCAGCCATACAGGGCTTGTAGCTACCATATTGGACAGTGAAGCCTTAGAATGTCAGCTCCAGGAGGCTAAAGATCTGTTTTGTTCATAGCTGTGTCTTCAGTGCCTAACAAATGCCTGGCACACAGTAGGTGTTTAATAAATGCTCGCTGAATGATTCAGTGAACCAAGTTTCTGTAGTAGGCTGAAACAGGCTTCCCAAAAGATATCCATGTCCTAATCTCTGGAATCCATGATTATTACCTTATTTGGAAACGGGTCTTCGCAGATGTTATTAAATTAAGGGTCTTAAAATGGGGAGATTACCCTGGATTATCCAGGGTGGTTCCAAATGCAATTGTGTATAACCTCATAAAAGGAAGGCAGGGGGAGATTTGATAGAAACAGGAAAAGGCGATGGAAGATCGAGCAGAGAATTGAAGACCCTGGCCTTGGAGATTGGAGTGATGCAGCCTCAAGCCAAGGAATGCTGGCAGCACCAGAAACTGGAAGAGGCAAGGGACAGTTCTCCCTGAGAGCCTCCAGAAGGAGTGGGGCCCTGCTGACACCCTGATATCAGCCTGGTGATACCAATGTCAGACTTACAGCCTCCAGAAGAGGAGAATAACTAGGAGAATACATTCCTATTGTTTTCAGGCACCGAGTTTGTAATCATTTGTTACAGCAGCCCCAGGAAATGTAGCAGTTTTGCAGCACTTAACTGTAAAACAAGAGTAGAATTGATACCCAGCTCAGCCTCACTCTTGCAACAAGGGACATTCATCTACAGATACAGTAATTAAATAGAAACATCCTTCCCATCCATCTGACAAAGAGATGCATTGCCATTAAAATTTTACATTGTATAGTGATCAAAGTGCTGTAATTTTAGATGTCAACTAAAAAAATGTGCCAGGAACGAGTTTCTCGCAGTTTGAAAAAGCTTGAAAATTTAAGGTCAGTCAGAACTAAAAGGAACAGCCAGACCCCAGGAGGACCGAGAGGACCAACTCCTTGAAGAGAGCCAACCTCCAGGGCAAGCAGGGCACCAAGGATGTCACTGTATTTATTTATTATGTGTTTATGTATGTATGTATTTTCAATTTTTAAAACTGTGGTAGAAACCTAAAATTTACCCTCTTAACTATTTTTAACACTTAAAAATAGTTAAGTAGTGTTAATTATATTTACATTGTTGTGTAACAGTCCTCTGGACTTTCTCGTCTTGTAAAACTAAAACTATACCCATGGAACGCAACTCCCATTTCCCCTCCCCCAGCCCCTGGAAACCACCCTTCTACTTTCTGTTTCCATGATTTCAGTCTGTCTGGATACCTCATGTAAGTGTAATCATGCAGTATCTGTCTCTTGATGAACTGTTTTTTTTTCACTTAGCATAATGTCCTCAAGGTCTATTCATGTTGTAACTCATGACAGGATCTCCATCTTTTTAAAGACCGAGTAATATTCCATTGTATGCCGATACCAGCCAACACGGATAAAACTGTGTTTATCCAGCCATCAATTAGTGGACTATTTGCTATTGTGAATAAGGCTGCAATGAGTATGGGTGTACAAATATCTCTTCGGGACCATGCTTTCATTTCTTTTGGATATATACCAAGAAATGAAATTGCTGGATCATATAGTAAGTCTATGTTACTTTTCTCTTTTTTGTTTTGTTCAGTTTTTATGGTGTTTTTGTTGTTGTTTGAGGAACCTCTAAACTGCTTTGCACAGCAGCTGCACCATTTTACATTCCCACCAGCAGAGCGTAAGGATTCCAAATTCCCACATCTTTGCCAACATTGTTTTCTTTTTTTTTAGTAGGGCTCTTTATGACTGTGAGGTGATACCTTATTGTGGTTTTTTGTTTTAGTTTTCTTGTTGTTGTTAATCCTCACCCAAGGATATTTTTTCCATTGATTTTTAGAGAGAGTGGAAGGGAGGGATGGAGAAAGACAGAGTGAAAGAGAAACATGGATAGGTTACCTCCTGCACCCTGACTGAAGCTGAGGATCAAACCTGCAACCCATGACTGGGAATTGAACCAAGGACCCCTCAATGCACAGGCAGATACTTCAACCACTGAACCACACCAACAGGGCTCATTGTAGTTTTGATTTGCATTTCTCTAATGATTAGTGATGTTGAACATCTTTTCATATTTTTGTTGGCCTTTGTCTATCTTCTTTTTTTAATCCTCACCCCGAGGACATGTTTTTATTGATTTTAGAGAGAGAGAGAGAAATATTGATGAGAGAGAGACACACATCTATTGGCTGCCTCCTGCACAATCCTGTCTGGGGTGGAGGATTGAACCTGCATCCAAGATATGTGCCCTTGACTGAGAATCGGACCCTCGACTCTGGTCCGTGGGCTGACACTCTAACCACAGAGCCAAACTGGCCATGGCTCTATGACTTCTTGAAAAGTACAACCTCCTTTTCTGTTTTATTTATTTATTTATTTTTTATCCTCACCCAAGGACATTTTTTTCCATTTTCTTTGTTCAGATAGAGTGGGAGGGAGAGAGAGGAAGAGAGAGAAACATTGATGTGAAAGGGATACATCGAGTGGCTGCCACCCGCACGACCAACCAGGGCCGGGGACAAACTGCAACCGAGGTATGTGCTCTTAGTGGGAACCGAACCCAGGTCTCTCTGGACCACAGGCTGATGCTGTAACCGCTGAGCCAAACCAGCCAGGGCCTTTTCTGTTTTATTTTTTATTTTTTTATCCTCACCCGAGGACATTTTTCCATTTTTTGTTCAGGTAGAGTGGGAGGGAGAGAGAGGAACAGAGAGAGAGAGAGAGAAACATCAATGTGAAAGGGACACATCGAGTGGCTGCCACCTGCACAACCGACCAGGGCCGGGGACAAACTGCAACCGAGGTACATGCCCTTAGCGGGAACCGAACCCGGGTCTCTCAGGACCACAGGCCGACGTTCTAACCGCTGAGCCCAACCGGCCAGGGCCTTTTCTGTTTTATTTTTAATGTAATACTATAGATCAGTGATTTTCAGCAGCAACTTATTAAAACTGCACATTCTAGAATTAAACCCTGACACATGTCGTCAAATGATTTCCACAAGATTGCTCAGATCATTCAATAGGGAAAGGACAGTCTTTTCAACACATGGTGCTGGGAAAAGTGGAGAGATGTCTACACGCAAGAGAATGAGGATGGCCCTGGCCGGTTTGGTTCAGCGGTTAGAGCGACGGCCTGCAGTCCTGAGAATGAGGATGGACCCTTACCTAAAACCATATACAAAAATTAAGCTAAAATGGATCAAAGACCAAAATGTAAGAACTGTAAGGACAAAAAACAGGCCTCTCTTTTTTGTTCTTTCAGCTTTTCCACAATTTATGAGAAGCACCTGGTAATTAAATGCAGAGATTGCTGGCTCTTCTGACCCAACTGCCTCTCTATTCAAACAGACAAGTGACGGACTGTGCTAGAGGCTGCATTTACCCCCCATTCCCTCCTCCCTGCTGTTTTAACAGCTTCTGGCTGTTAGCAAGAATTCCTCCTCCTGGTCTCCCCCCTCCCTTCAGACAGGCCTCTCCCTTTTGAACTCTCTAACTTTTGTTCACCAGAAAGATGCTGATAAGACACATCCCCAGTGCATCTGCTGGACTGTCTTCTGAAAAGCAAACAAACTGTAACTTTTCAAGACAGCCCCCTTCCTTCCTTGTTGCTTAGTAACAGCAACTGCTTGCTCTTTTAAAGTGCAGGCCCCTCCTTTCCCGCTTTGTGTCACCTTTGGACACCTGGTCTTTTCCTCCCTTTGGAAAGTAAAATACATTTCCTCTCTTTCTCCCTTCTCTTAGTTGTGAATTCTTTCCATAGGCCCAAACCCTAACAAGAACTAAAAGTATAAAACTCTTAGAAGAAAACATAAGGGAAAAGCTTCATAATTTTGAAGTCATTCTGCAATGACTTCTTGGATATGATGAAGGAAGGAAGGAAGGAAGGAAGGAAGGAAGAAAGAAAGGAAGGAAGGAAGGAAGGGAGGGAGGGAGGAAGGAAGGAGAAAGAGGGAGGGAGGGAGAGAGAGAGAAATTGGGCTACATTCAAATTAAAAACTTCGGTGCAGCCCTGGCCGGTTTGGCTCAGTGGTTAGAGCGTCAGCCTACGGTCCAGAGAGACCCGGGTTCGGTTCCCGCTAAGGGCATGTACCTCGGTTGCAATTTGTCCCTGGCCCTGGATGGGTCCTGCAGGTGGCAGCCACTCGATGTGTCCCTTTCACA